CCTTCCTTCTTTCGTCCTTCTCTTTCTTTTTCTCCTTTTTTTCAGGTGAACAGGGGGACGGATGTCCCCGACACAAAAATGTAAAAACAGAGGGCTAATCTAAAGCCTACACAAATGATTGAGGGTTTATTGGCCCGGGCACATGCATAAAATGAAATCAGAGTAGTAGAAGAAATTTAAGGAATAACAAACTAGGAATAAGAATTCGGCAGGTGAACAAATTGAAGTAAAAAGTAGCTGCAATGCGTTTAAAAAACTAAAAAATAAACGATAGACCAAAAAAACTTTAGATATAGAGCTTTCTTACGAACCGAAAGAAGGTGGGTCGGGACTCAGGTATTCGGCCAGATATATACCTTTTTTTATATCGTTTTGAGGAATATTACACAGCAACAAATGGAGAATGGATCGGAAAATCGGCAATTCAGGACTCGGAGGATCGATATCTGAAAGGAATGGAAAATAAAATATCCTTCAAGTCTGATACACTCAGGTCTTCTGGACCCAAACCTTGCCATAACTGGATAGGGTTGAGTATTAGGGTCATGGTCATATACCTAAATGAAGAGTTTTGAGAAAACGACATTACATGTGCAATAGTTCAGGAATCCACACAAATAACGAATGCGAGAAGGACGCTTTTGAAATAAGATGACGGAGAAAGTAAAGGAGGAGAAGGGGAAAATGATAAAGAGGATCAAAGGAGAAGAAAAAGAAGAAGGAGAATTTAGGGAGGAAAAAGCAGAGGATGATGACGAGAGGAAAAAAGTTCCCTCTTTCCTCTGATTTCCCTTGAGAGACCTCTCCTCTAAGGTGTTAATGGCTCAAGTGTTAAAAGCACCAAATAAACGTATCTACCAACCAACCATACATAACAGATATACAGAAGACTAACAAAGATGAGGAAGCAGAAGAATGAGAAAAGGAAATAAGGAGACCATAGATATGGTGTTCTGTGCAAATTTTGAATGAAATCGAACAGATAGATTCTGAGATATCGCTGTAGACGGATTTGGGGGACACCACACGGCCACACCCACACGGACGGACACACATTTTTTCAAGTATGGTTATTTTGAATCCAGGGGCCTTAAAACGTCTAGAAATGATGGAATTTCAACTTTTTTTTCTCTTTTTTCTTGGAGGATGACAATACTTCCTCTCTAACCTAGGAGAGCGAGAAAGTAAAAAGACATAAAGGGAAGGAGTTAAAGTAAAATATCTTTCTATCTTCGTTCATATTCGTCTTCTTTTGAGCGTTCACCACGTTACCGTTGTTTTGCATCGGGTATGTTACTAATGTATCCATTGGTAAAGGCCCGCACTGCTCCATGGGAATCGGCGCCATTTTTCGTGGCGGGAAGCAATACCTAGTTTCTCAATTTTTTTTTAATGTATCATTTCTATTGTGCGAGTTAACAAGCATTGAACTTTGAGCGATAACATATTTCATATCGTTTTGGAGCACATAAAAGGCGCAGATCAATCCACACCTACTATTTTTTTAGTTTTGATAAATCATGCAAATAGGTTAAGAAAGGGGACCGCTAAAGACCGCTGAAGAAAGGGCTAAACATACATCACTCATAAATGAAGGGGCCTACATTCGATTTACGGTGAAGTATAAATTTTCATTCCCTTTTAGAAGTAACAGGATAATTTGGCTCATTAAGTTTAAGACTCTGATCGGATTCTTTACCCCTTTAAATCTGAAAGTTTTTGGGGTGTTTGTACTTTTTCAGGATGCAGCTGAATCGATAATAAAATCATCAAACATAGTTTTTAATTTCTTTCTTTCCTACGCATATTAATTTTTTCCTCTCTCCGTAAGTTATTTCCTTTTGAAATGGAAGTTAAGTTAGAATGTAACTTCAATATAAAGTACTTACCAAGCATGGTCAGTGTGACATATCGGTATGGATCAGGGTAGAAAAAGTATGGCTCCTTTGCAACCTCCATAACTGTGGGATTAGGTTTCTTCCCACATCGGACTGGATATTTGCGATATTCAACCTTAAGAAGCAAATATGTCTCATAGAACCCTCAGAATAGACCACTAGGTATACAGGGTAAGGTAATTAGCACCACAGCAGGTACATGATTCTTGCATACTGCCTCGGTAATTTCGAGACTCCCCTCCCTCAGAAAATACGTTTGTTGCGATCAGTCGTAAAATATTCGGTCAGAAACCGTTGGTATACCGTCTAGCACAGCTTACCTTCTACTGCTCTTATTAAATATAGAAAGCCACGGTACCAACAGATCATCAACACTTAACAAAAAAAACGTCTAACCGATTTCCTTCCTACTTAGCAAGAATGAAGCTAAGATCCGCCGGATCATGTCCAAAAATTCAACTTTAGAAAAAATTGTCACTGAAGCCCAAGAAAAAGAAAAGTTGTTTCTCCTTATCTTATCGTGAAATCACACTTGGTTGTAGGGAGTATTTTTTGGCGAGAAACTTGAATTTTTAGTTCAATTTTCAAAATTCCGCGCTTTGTCGCGGTTTGCAGAGCGAGTCGCGTAGCAGGCGCGGAGCGATTGCTGCGGGATCCATGGGGGCAGGAGCTCTCTGGCTGGCTGTGACGGCTCGTGAGAGCGAGCCCAGAACAGCTAATGAACATTATCTTTATAAATATTAGCCACTTTATAAACATTAGTCACTTTTAGACCTATCGGACCAAATATTAAAATTAAATCACTTACCAGCAAAGGGGCCGGTGGAGTATATGAAAAATTCAGCACTGACATAATCCCGGATGAAATCAATTTGGCGGTGTTATTCGATAAACATGACTCGGGTTCCATAATTTCAGCTTTCACGGGAACTAGGGCCACTATACTCATTAATATATATTGATGTAACGTAATCCATCCATCAGTGGATGTTTTTAGCATTTTGCCTTGCATCTGCAATTAATCTTCTATAAATGTTTAAGTATTCTTTTTTTTCTATACGAAGGTGATTTTTGGGTAGACTAGTCACATTAAAATGAGTAATTTTACTTGATGCAGTGGAATTTGCATGTGCTCAAGAATTGAAATACAAGCAAATAGCCTCAAATTATGTAATCAAAATGAAAGAAGAGAAAAAGAAACATAACCGAAGCGAAGCACTATCAAATTCTTGTAATAGAGTAAACCTCAAAAATCTTGAGGGTTCTTTTTTTAATAATACTTAAAAATAATCATTGTGTGAAATTCTTGTAAGAAGAACACATCGCAAAGAACAGAGATACTATTGAAATATTTTATTCATTACTAACTATCTATGCTTCCATTTTTCCACAGTGGCAGAAATCTATCGGTACAGATGACCTTACCTACTATTTTTAAGGTCAGAGGAAAAATCACAAATATTCCTAAAAACGAGGAAAAAGAGAAGATAAAATAGCCGGAAGCGTTGACGGACCATACAAGGTTCTTATTCTCATTGTCTATATCTAAACGAGTATATTTGTATGCATAAATTCGCTCTAATTCTAACGTGAAGCCTCGATCTAATATTTAATCCTATTTTTTCCACGCATGCTGACTCCAAAAACAGCCGCCACGCAAAAGACAATGATAGAAATCTTGTACGGCATTCCGACGGTGAAACTACCAGACCACGTTTTGCGACGTTGCAGACTTCCTTTCATACTGCATATTTTAAATTGAAAACCACTCTATGTCTATTGTTGAAAACCTCCACGATTTTCTTTTCTCTGTACAAAGAATATTCCATGAAAAATTCATGATACCTAATATTGATTTGTTTTCCTTCAAAAAAATAAAACGAGAGCGGAGATTTTTAAACGCTGCAAACGAGATAGGTGCATGGTCTGGTAATCGCACAACGCACAGTTGATTTACAAACGTAAGAAACTTAAAGACACATCTATACAATGAGTCAGTTAAGATGAATCCAGGCTTGGAACTTCGCGATTTGGCCACCACGTCGCGCTGCTCAGAATAGCCGCATATATTTTCCAAAATAATAAAAACCGTAATACTTATTCAAGATTGGAGATCCAGGGGTTATGGCAACATACTTGAGGAACTCTCAGTAAAAAAATCTTCTCAAAATTCCCAAAAATAAAGTCTTAACTACGGCGGAAAGTAATTCCCATTGCGGCAATGGGAGAGAGAGACAGAACATGAGGGATTCCGTTGCGCGCTCGGCCGCCGCCTCTGAGCTGAAAGTTTCAGCCGCACTTTCTCTGCGCTTGTAATTCTAATTGCCAATATTTTTGTCTGCTTTTTGCTTGCTGGTTTTTTATTGTCTTTCGAATGAAGTGTCACAAAGAGAAAGAGAGAGGGGGGGGGGGTCGATAATTTTAAAAAAAAAAGTTGGCACCCGCTCCCTTAAAAGGAGATCGCATTTTGGGAGGACCAAAAAGTTGTTATTTCAGACCTACCACCATCCCCAAGGTTTCAAATCTATGCCAACTGGGAAAAAAGTTACAGGAGTGGTAAGTGTGACTTCTGATTAGCCTTGTATACTACGCAGAGTTCTTAAACTCTTTGATAAGTAATTATGAGGAAATAGTAAACTGTCAATTATTAAAATATTAAAAAAACTCTGTTGGTTTTAAGAATTAAAAAATTATCAGTGGTCGTCTGTGGGGTAGGCTATACCTAAGTCCACGGAAGCAATTCCAGAGGTGATTTTAGTTTTGTTAGGTTGGAAAGTTGAATTTTCTCCGTCGTTGTGGCAAGTAATTTTCGAGAGGTTTCTTTAATTTTTTGTCAATAGAGAGCACGAATTTCATCCTCGCATGTGTGTGCCATGAAGAGGACAAATCACCTAGACTAAAATAATTTCTCTCAGAATTACATTTTTTACAACCAAAAACTCCAAAGCACCATACCTACGGCTTTAATTTATCGTTTTAGGTGCTTTTCTTTCCTTTATTATCCGTAAACTCATTTGCACTCGTGTATTAATAGTGAAATTTTTAGTTTCCGTGCACAAAGGTGCTTTTCCCTGAAGGAGATGGTATGTAAAAGCTTCTGAATTTTATGAAAATCATTATTTTACTACGTAATTGATTTCGGACTATCCACTGACCATGGTGTAAGAAACTGCAAAAAACTGATATGGGAGAATAGACGTCCATTTGTCTACACTATGTATGTCCTTGAGAATAGGGTTGGTCTCGCGGTGGTTGTGGTGGTACGCGGCACGGCTTTCATAACAAATGCGCACTCGCTTCCATTAGAACGGGTGGTATCCTCCGGTGTTAAGCTTAAAGGCTCAAAGAAGTCCTCTCTCCACTCGAAGATGAAAAAATTTACAGCCAATGCGTCTCCCAGTTTATGTTTCATTGCAAAAGCTTGGGCAGAAAATTTCGCTCTTGCTGGATCGGAAGAACTGCGAAGAAAAGGAGCATTACCTCAATTTTACAAGTACAGGTTTATTGGGCGAATTTTCGCGATCGACCATGATATTTTTCCGATGGTTAATGCTACGTGGGGTCAATGCTTGAATTTTCTAATCAATCACCTGTGTCGCACTATCAAAATACTTCATCAAAATGTCAAGGTCAAGTGCTGTGATTGGTTCAAGTCATCAATCACAACACCTGACCTTGATATTTTGATGGCTAGTGTTGATAGTGTGACACAGGCAAATCAATTGGAAATGTATGAATCAATGAGAGTCGGGGAAAAATGGAAAAGCGGCTTGGTCCATTCCCTAAGAATAATGGACAAGAAAATACCTCAGGGTGTTCGCCTCACCGGAATAAAAGGGACTGATTATCGTGGAAATAGTCTTTTATGCATGTTTAAATTTATTGAAATGAATTTCCTTTTTTTCACATCAAATGGACGTTCGTTATCAGTTTTGCATGGGTAATGCAAATCAATGCGTGCTTTTATTCACCTGCTTGGTTGTGGTAACTTGTTCTCGGGTTTCGTTGACCTTCTTAACATCAGGTACCTCAATTAAAAACTACAATCTTTATAACTCAGTGCCGGTGAAGACTAGGGAGTTACACTTTTTTCCGAATTCCCAAATGCAGGAGTGCTGCTTCCCAGAAAAATATGCCAACCTCACAAATAAAATTTAACGTGGCTCATTCAAATAATGAAACAGTCTTAATAATAAATAGTCCACTAACCTGTTGGAATTAATTATTTCCATATGGATGGTCATATTTCCATGAGGTTGTTCGTATACGACATACACGTAACGATGCCAACCTAAAAACAACCAAGACTGATTTTTTAAACACAGCTCGAAATATCTTGGACTATAAAGGTTTCTTAATATTTCATAATAATCAGAGATTAAGATAAAGCTTGGAGAGAAGAATGCTCGTAAAATAATTACAACTCCACCGATACAAATATTAATATCCTTTGGGGTGCACGAACAAATGATTTCTCACCAATCTTTTCAAAATTATTTTTTGCCTGACAACTTTGAGGCACATAAACATGACCTATCCAACAAGGCAAACAATATTTTTTTCGTAAAATCAAACCTTACTACGGGGATCTAATCGGCCTGCCATGCCACCCTTCAAAAACTATCAATCTGTGGTGTCAAATTTTAATTTTTCCAAAATTCATTTTTTCGAATTAATGCCACCTCGATCGGGTCTGGGAACCAATGTGCGCCGGTTCGGTGCGTGTGAAGTGAACAACCTCGTATCCCCAATGCATTACTACCGGACCGGACCGGTACCGGACTGTGTTAAGCAATGAGTGACTACTTTTTTTGCTCATCTATAAAACCACATATCTACAAAGGGATAGGTACTAATGGTAAATACGTTGTCTATGAAATTAGTTGTTTTTAGGGATAATGTTGCCGCATTGCAAAATTTAGTCTAATTGATGCATTAAGTCAACTTTCATTCGATATTGCTTCCATCAGGAGCCCAGTTGAGCCCAGAGAACAAACGTAAAATTACAGGAGACAAAATGTGGCAACCAATGCAAAGTTTAACAGACCATTGTGGCAATATTATTGTGGCAAAATAATTAGATTAGTTTATTATTAAGTAATTAAATTTGATAAAATGTGTTGAAAGTTCACTCACTTGTTCCTTTGAGTGGCTCCGGAGTTGTATACTCGACTATAGTGTCTCCTGTTTCCATGTATCTTTGTTCATAAATATTTGATTTAAGCCAATAAATTATTTGACTTTTACTGGCGGCAGCTGCTGATGGCTCGTCAGGCCCTGAAATAAATGATCAGCCGTAAATTAATTTCTCGAGGTTAAGATGAACCAAGAAAGGACTAGACCATATTGTACAATAATTAGAAAAAAATATGAAATAAACTTCAACGTTTTAGTTTTTGATCTTCCGTACTACCTACCTATCTTTTATATGGAATTTCTCATTAGGTGCACTTATTGTTTCACAAATTATTGCAATTTTTGCCTGAAGACTCGCGTTTATAACTGAGGTAATAAAAAATGTGAAGATAATCATACTTAGTGGGGTTTGTATTTTAAAAACGGTGCTTGTTTTCCTAATTAGAAGAAACACAATTCTTGCCATTTCTATCACATAGGAAGTTTTTGATAGATCCTCCTTAACACTTTGATATAGGAAATTGGAAATATTGAAAACTTTTGGCACGTTTTTAAAATGGAATTAAAAGGGACGCTAACGTTTCTTTACAATGATTTTTTATACCATTAGCTCCGAGACCTCCTCTTGTATATCTGGTAACGCTTAGTTCCAGCGTTGGCTCCAGCGTTCCACCAGACCGATTTTTATGATTTTTAAGGCTATCGACAGGCAATTGTCTCTAAATGAATTCGGCATACTCAGATTTTGAAAATATGACTCAGGTTTTTTTTTTATATTACGTGGTAAAGTTGCAAACTCCCCCATTTAAACAATGTTCTATTTTTTGTCACAGTTCATTTGAGCGTTTTACTGGGCCGATTTCCATGATTTTTGCAGTCATAGACAGGTGATAGTCCCTAGACGAGCCCGGCCCCTAGTGCCTATAGTATTCTCATAGCAAGTGTCATCAATTTAAATCGAATCGCTGATTTGCGCCAGGAAATATATTTTTCATTCGTGCATGCAGAAAACATATTACTGGTCAGAACTTTAGGTACTCTATTCGATTTTCAATTAATCCGCTCCAAAGGAAGAGAGTTTGGGACAATATTTGAAAACGCCATGCAAGATTTGCGACTTTTAGTCCATAAAGACTAATGATAATAAAAGAAATCCAGGAAATCGGTCCAAGTTTTAGTTTACTTTTATTTTCAGAGAGGCGCAGAAGCAATGGCTCTTTTCCAAAGCCCTTTAGATCAGATCGCAAAAAGAACAGCAACATCGCATCGATTCTAAGATCCACATTGACTTACTTACCGACAAATACAATTGTATAATACGTGTTATTTTTGGTGGGCCAATCCATAATATTAGGAGGTATATGTACGTCATTTGTGATGAGTTTGTTTCCTAGATTTGCAATAAATCCATGGAAGTATTTTACCTATCAAAAATAAGACACATGTTTAGAGTCATTTTAAAGATTACAAAGGAGAAGCAAAATTGCCATATGCCTTGTAAGTTTATTTACTGAAAATCACATTTTCACTGTTCGCGCCGCGAACTAAGGCCGGCTGGAGTCTCCTTCCAGCCGAGCGTAGCGCTCCTATCACCGCGCCGGCGCGGCGCGGCGGTTGCTCCGCCACCATAGAGAAAAAACAAGCAGTGAACTCCAACACAATGTGTTGATAAGGCGCGTCATTAACTCGCACATATCAACCCCTTTAGTTTTCATTTACAGAGATTTCAAAACAGGCAAGAAGCATAACAAGAGAATTCATACGATCCAACACTGCGAGGTCAACGACGCACTTTGTCGACACCGTGTATTGTGAATGTAGAAAGCCATTCGAACGAGTTTAAGTTTTTTGATCTGCCCCAAGCAAAATCTTATCAGATTCTTAATGAAAAGTGCTACCTAATAATTTAAGCGAAGAAAGAAAAAATTTTGTCGAACTCCTGAAAGATAAAGTTGATTTAGGTGAAGGTATATTTTAGATTTAGAGTTTATTTTGAGCTTGGGAGATGATTTCAGAGAAAACCAGTGGCACCATCGTGTTTCTCCCGAACTTTTACATAAGAATCAATGGTCAAATCGCAAATCCCTCACACATGCAACATCTCAATTGATGCTTCAAACGGAACCAATTTGTTTCAATGACATTTCCGGCTATATCATGGGTTTTCCCAGGAAGGCAGCCTCTCGTCCCTCTCGGACTCTACTGTTGTGAGATAAGTTTCTTGTATCGCGCAATCTGGCAACGTCTCGAGTGAAATAGAAAAAGGTGGAATCGACTGAAAGTCTGAATCCTTCGAAGTTTATATCAAATGGACTGCATTTTGCAATTTGGAACTATAAATCTAGCCCGGTGTAAAAACATCGTATGTGCCATAAGTTTTCCTATGCACATAAGTGTTTTTTCAGATGAGCCAGAATTTATAGTTCCAAATTGCAAAATGCAGTCCAAATGTATAGCCGTTCTGAACGAGCTTTGCGCGTCCGTCCCGGCCAGCCAAGGGGCTGCGCCCCCTGCACTGAAAAAAAAGTAGTTAGCGTTGAGAACTAATTTGGTTGGTTCTCGCCAAGTAGAATCAAAATTAGGCTTCAGAACTAATTTATTGTACTGAAGCACCAATCAATTCGCTTCATACGCTGACTTGACTTTACTAGAGCGCGAACCAGAATTGGAAAACAGCACTAGCTGTAAAATTAGCGCTGTGGTAAGACAAATTCACCTTCGGGTCAAACTAATTCGCCCTCAACACTAACTGCCACATTGTCCGTTACATTTATTTAGTTTCGAAAAAGTGGCGTCGGTACAACAGCCTCAATCGCGTCAGCTCGTGAAAATCAATTAAAATGTGAAATTTCGGGCTCGTTTGACAATGTAAATACTCCCGGTATGATTTATAGTGTCCTCTCTTTCTTGAAAACGTTCGAAAGCAACATAAATAAACCTGTTAAGGTTAGAAATCGTCTGTTCGATTCAAAACGTAAACAAGCATGATATTCGTTGGAGTCGTCAATCTTCTGTATTAAATTGCGATTAAAGCGTTCCGCGTTCAGTTTATATTTTACGAAAATCTGTGAACTTACTGCTTACTTCTATAGTTCGTGTTCTCCCGTAATTTCAAAAGAATATCTCAAGTGTTCGGACGAGATATGTTTATTCAGTGTGAACATTCGCTACCGTTTCATGTGTGAGTGTGTGTCTCTCTAAAGGATAATTCTGTCTACTTGCACATACCTATGGGATATTCCTTTCCTCTGTCGTTCATTTGGAACCGGTCAGTTGATTTTTACCTCTCATCTTTTAAGAAATCTTCTTTTCCTGAAAGTATTGTCCAGTTATCATTCGCTAAGCCGTTTTCTCCTCTCTCAGTTTTGAGGTTAGGTTGACCCAACCCTACCGAATGCGAATTAGAGTAGCGGAATTAGTTTCCAGCACTAATAGTGGTTAGTGTACAGAAACCAAAAATCATGTGTGTCCAAATCACACAATTTGAGTTAGTGTATAGAAACCATTTTTAGTCATCTGACGCTAACTCATTTTTTTCAGTGTGGACCCCCGATCACTCGCTACGCGAGTGACATTCGGCTCGCTCCGCGAGCCATTTTTCTCAGTGATTGGACTTTTGATCACTAATATGTATACATTTTGGAGACTCTAGAGGCAAAAATGATTTCGTCACAGAACCTTGTTGCCGGAGCATGCCATCATTTGCACATGAATAGATGTGTGGAGATGAAGCGATGATGGGGATCGATCATTTCTTCAAAAACGCATTTGACTGGGACGTCATCCCATCGGGTGGCGGAAAAAGACAATCCATGGATCTCCTTCCGCGATTTGACTTGCTGAGCTGAAGTAGCGAAAGTTCATCTTTACCTCTTAAGAAGATTATCGGTGGCGTAGGGGTCTAAAAACTGCTTAACGATAGTATAGTTCGAGTTCCGAATCGCAATGAACCCACTCGTGCCCACTTACACTTCCATCGCATATAAATTTCTCTGATGTTTTTGTTTTATTCTCTCTGATTGCATATTAGTAATCATATCCTCATTTCATTTCCTTTCCCTTTCCTTTTTCCCTTTCTGTAGCATCTGTGTCCATTCACAATTATTATTTTTAAATAGCTTTCCCCCAGTGTACAATTGATGCTTCAAACGGAATCAATTGTTTTAATGACATTTCCGGCTAAATCATGGGTTTTCCTAGGAAGGACTATAAAATAGTCCCTAGATGAGCCCGCTGTAATTAGATTTTAGAAATGTGACCCGGATTTTTTATAATAGAGTATACCCGGGAGCTTAGAAAAGGGGTAAAATTTGAAATTCCCGCTATTTTTAATCGGCGGGAATTTTAAATTTTCCGGAAAATTGAACTAAGCGGGAAATTGTGAATCTTGGTCTGTTAGTAGGGTAAGGTAAGTGTTTCGAAGGTATGCAACTTTACTACAGAATATCCAAAAGTAACGAAACGCTCCGTTCCAGTCATTTCGGTTTGTTTCAGTATTGGCCTGAAGTTTGAAATGAATGACGGTTTTCTAATTTGATTCTTATTGGTCCAATCGCTCCTGGCCAGAGGTAGATTGGACAAATGAGAGTCGGGTATGAAGATCTTTTCATTTTTTGGTCGTTCTTTTGTCGAAGCGGCCCTAAGGGAGGGCGAAGCGGCCCTAAGGGAGGGCGAAGCGTCCTCGGGGGGTTGGGCTGCGTAGCGGCCGGGGGGCATCGCCAACTAGTTAATGATGATGATAGAGCTTTGATCAAAGTCTGAATTCGAAGTGATATGAACTGAACAAATTGAGGTGGATCTAGGAAGTTAGCGATATTTTTTCTCTGCATTCAAACCTATGTTGAAGAATCTATTCTTGTCGAAGCACCTAGATGGCCTCTCCAATCCTCCATATATTTAAATGGAATTAATATAATACTGTTAACTTTCTGGATACGCCAATGTGCGCAAAGCTGTAATGCAGCCAACAAGACATTCTGTTCGTGCAAAATTCTAGCATATAGGTACATATACCTTGACAATGTCTCGGGGGGCGAAAGGTAGAACATCCGGCACGACGCAAGCTTTTTCACAAGCATGTTTGATATCCTCTGGACTTCGATCGACAAGTGTCGTCGCTTTTTTTAGCAGCACGAGTAGGATGAAATTCAAACACCGTTCAGCACTTGAGCTCGTCATGTAGGTACATTTGGGGAAAACTTTGCGTCACAGAAAAATTTCTAGAGAGTGTCAAAATTTAAGAAGTGTAGAAAAGTCAAGCTCATCAAATGTTCGACTCCAGTCGCAAAAAAATTTAGTTACCTATGTGCGACCTGTAAAACCTATTAGCTTTTTAAGCCTGAATTCCACCCCTTTTTCTAGGGGCACAAAGTGAACACAAGCAATAAAGTTAAATTATACTGGAAATTATACATAAGACGCAGTGCTGGACCTAGATATTTGGCGCCCGAGTGCGAGTAAGGACCAGGTGTCCCCTTTCCTTGAGGGATTGCAAGGGGGGGGGGGGCATTACCTTGCTCCCTCCCGTCAGGGACCACGGGGGTGTATCCTCCAGAAAGAGGTTGTCCCATTTTCCATAGGAAATGGTCTCAAGAGCTTCTCCATCCATACTTTCAGGAATCATAACGTATCATCGGAGAGGCCTAAATCCGGTGTCATTTTCCGTCTAACCCTCCAGGGGGAGGGGGGGAGGGGGTCAAAGGTCAAACGCTCTGACCGCCATAACTTTTGAACGGATCATCGGATCAACTTGATCTTGGGCTCAAATAAAAACTCTTGACGAGACCTTTCATTTGATGCATAGTATTGTCTGTTTTGGGTAATTTTTTAGTGTAAAAAAAATCATTGTTTGATTTTTCAAGCCCAAAAAATTCAGTTTTTGGGGGTTTTTCATAATTTGGAACGCATAAATCATTACAAAAACCAGTTTAAATAAAATCCCTTGTTCAAGCTTTAAAACGAGCTGTCGTTGAACCTGGGGAAATGAATAGTTCAAAAGTTATGACCGTTCAAAGTTGGCGTGGCGCGCTATTTTCGAAGCGCGCGGAGTGTATACTCGCGTGCCACCCCTCCCTACCTTTTCCCCTGGTGCCCACTTCAGCTGATAACGGATATAGAAAGGTGCAAAGCTCCTTCCACCTAAAGAATAACCAATCATTGGTGCAAAATTACTTTCATTTCTAACGAAAAAAAGAAATAAAAATAAATTAAATGCTAATAAACGACAAGACGCTGGCATTCATTATTTGTTCGCCCCTCCCCCCCTCCATGATTTAATAGTTAATAGCCAAATCAAGCCTCCCATCATTGCGGTATCTGATTATTCCCGTGCAGGTAAATCTTGATGAGAGGGAATAGATCGGAGAGAGGTGAGGGAGAGATATTCAGTATTAAATGTGAGTTTCAAGTGCTGGTCGGCTAGTTGCGTACTAGAGCCTATGAATATTATCTAAAGCTTTTGAGTGTATTTTGCAGTAAAAGAGGCTTGATTTGGCTATTAAATATTAAATCACGGAGGGGGGGGGGGTTGGGGCGAACTAATAATGAATGTCAGCGTCTTGTCGTTTATTAGCATTTAATTTCTTTTTATTTCTTTTTTTCGTTAGAAATGAAAGTAATTTTGCACCAATGATTGGTCATTCTTTAGGTGGTTCTTTGGACCTTTCTATATCCGTTATCAGCTGAAGTGGGCACCACGTCAAAAGGTAGGGAGGGGTGGCACGCGAGTATACACTCCGCGCGCTTCGAAAATAGCGCGCCACGCCAACTTTGAACGGTCATAACTTTTGAACTATTCATTTCCCCAGGTTCAACGACGGCTCGTTTTAAAGCTTGAACAAGGGCTTTTATTTAAACTGGTTTTTATAATGATTTATGCGTTCCGAATTATGAAAACCCCCAAAAACTGAATTTTTTGCGCTTGAAAAAACAAACAATGATTTTTTTTTACATAAAAAATTACCTAAAACAGACAATACTATACATCAAATGAAAGGTTTCGTCAAGAGTTTTTATTTGAGCCCAAGATCAAGTTGATCCGATGATCCGTTCAAAAGTTATGGCGGTCAGAGCGTTTGACCTTTGACCCCCTCCCCCCCTCCCCCTGGAGGATTAGACGGAAAATGACACCGGATTTAGGCCTCTCCGATGATACGTTATGATTCCTGAAAGTATGGATGGAAAAGCTCTTGAGACCATTTCCTATGGAAAATGGGACAACCTCTTTCCAAAATGTACACTTCTTCCGTAGAAAGTTCACCCTCTCAGCTAAATATGTGGCAACCATAATTATCAGCTTAAAATGTTTTGGATGACTATTGCGACTTTGCAATCGACAACATAATTTTTCTGGTATAATAAACTTGTATAATATTTTTAGCGGACAATCTATCCTGCGACGGGGTAGGTAAGACGAGCTAAACAAACCTGACCTTGCTGATTTTTTCATCGTACACATATAAATCTAAAATCTAAGCTGTACATGTGTTCTAATCGGTGCGGTGGCGATTGCGGACGTGGCGATTGCGGATTCTAAGAATCCGGTGGCGTTTGCGGATTCTCGTATTTTGATGGTATTTGCATCCCTGAATACAGTAATTTGAGTCCTACGTATTTATTTAATGCGCATAATGCGAAATAATGGCTCAAATCTTGGGTCAACTCGGAATAATTTTCTCGATTTTTACCGATGATATGTGGCAATGCCGCGCCGCGATGGGAGTCTCTTTACATAAATACATGTAATGAACAAAATAATAATAGATAAATGCATGTGCATATTCACTAGTCATGTGATCGTTACGTATGAAAAATCAAGGGTTTTGAACTTTGCTGAATGAGCTCGACGAAGAACAGCCTCCAAATACTGAAATAATCACAAATAGTTTCCTGTGATTTTAGGCAACAAAATATGGCAACATCGGCTTTTTCTTTGGAGGAGGGGGGGGGGCTTTCAATTCCATAAAGTTTTTTGGAGGGCTACGTACAATTTCCGCCAAGGAATCTATTTCTGGTTTAAGATAAGTAGCCCTTTTTTATGCCATTTTAATAATAATGATGAAAAACAAGAAAATTCTATAAAGTTCGTTTTAACTATGAGCGCAAGGGTTGCCATCGACGAAATTTGGCCAGAGCGACTATATCTTACACCCTTAATGAACATACTTGAAGGAAAATTTGCTCCTCCGATGATATTTGATCGTTATGAAACAGCGGGCGCAGCGCGTCGAATGCCAAGAAACCCGAATTTTCCGCAAAAATTAGCCGTCAGACTCATGTTTAGGCCAGCATTAGACCCCTAAATAGGCCGAAAATGACAAAAGCATGACACATTCCGTAAAATTTAGACTCCCAAGAAGCAAAAAAATCGTAAAATTGAAGAATTTCAGGGTATGGGCCGAAAAACGGCCCTTATCGAAACCCCTAGCTCCTTTGGCAAATCCCCTTAATATCAATAGTCATTTACCGGCCTGCGCCTCTAACTGGCAACCATATCGGTTGCCATTTTCGATTCGGAGGCCTAATTTTTTGTAGGAATAAACATTTGATCTCCTATTCGAACTCCTTGCCCCACAAAACTAAATTTTGAACGTATTGCTTATCATAGCTGCGCTAAATTGGTGTTTCAGCCGTAATACCGGTGGCCATTTTGGGGGCCATATTTGATTTTAGGGTCTCTGGAGGGCCGCAGCGGAAAATGGACCTCATTTTCGGACTCTACGACCCCGAAAACCTAATAATTGATACCTCACTATGCACATGGACCCGTATAGGCAAATTAGTACCCCTGAGTGGTATTTTTGGCCGCCATCTTGGATTTGGAGCCCTCCTTTGGGTCGGGGGTGTTTTTAAATGTGATATTCGGATTCCTCGTGTCATTTTACATAGGAATCGACATCTGACTCGACGCTATCCGCAAAATTTAAAACTTTCACCATGGCGGCGGCCATCTTGGACGCCATCTTGAATTCTGGGCGTCGGTTCAATTTTTGAACTTGACACCATCGAAATTCTGATTCTAGACATCCTAAAGAAGAGAATGACATATCACAACAATTTTACCCACGAAGCTGCACACGGGACCTCTTATTTGTACATGTGGTACTGGACTAGGTGGCGATTGCGGAAAGGGGGAACAGGGCCGGTGGAGTTTGCGGATTAGAGAATTTCGGCGGTGGCGATTGCGGACGGAGGGGTAGGCACTTACATATGCTGCCCCCCACCCCTGCGCTGTATATTAACAAAAAAATTACCGGAGAGACACAGGATTTCTTTCCGTGGATGTAGAATGAAAAACATATCAATATTAAACATAAGTCTTATAATAGTATAAAAGCATATGAAGTACATGGATTTTTTATTTACAGTAAATTTTTAAGGCATACCAGAAATAAAAAAAAACTGAACAATTGTAAGTTTCAGTCCATTTTTAGGATTAAAAACATGTTGCGGATTCTAGTCGATATATGTAATTTCAAACAAAGAACGTTCCCATGTGTACCTATGTACCTATGTGTTTTCATTTTTCATATTAAATTTTTTTGACTTTCAGTAGTTTTGGACTAGACTCCGCAACATGTTTTTAATCCTGAAAATGGATTGAAACTTACAATTTTTCAGTTTATTTATTCCTGGTATGCCTTAAAAATTCACTGTAAATAAAAAATCTAGTACTACATACTATGTTTTTATACTGTTATAAAACTAATGTTTAATATTAATTAGTTTTTCATTCTACATCCACGGACAGGAATCCAGAGTCCCTCCGGTAATTTTTTTCTTTAATATACAGCGCAGGGGTGGGGGGCAGCATACATATGTAAGTGCCTACCCGTCCGCAATCATCACCGCCGAAATTCTCTGATTCGCAAACTCTACCGGCCCTGTTCCCCTTCTCCGCAATCGCCACCATCAAAATATGAGAATCCGCAAACGCCACGTCCGCAATAGAGTACCTGTATAGCGAGAGTATGGACAGATTGCTTCATGGAGGGCTTAGGGCCCCAAAAGTGCAGCCACCCTTCTAACCAACTTCTAACGCACAAAATTTCACTGCCAGTCTTTAGATTCCAATTCTAACGATGATGGCTAAGAAAGTACATAAATAAGCGTTCTTCCACAAAAATGAGTAAATTTATGCAAAAACTAAGTCAAATACGTGCTATATAAACGATGGTTCGTAACAATTGTGTTATTAATCGCTCTGGATAATTGAAATTCTTAGGTTGGCTGCATTTCTGGGCCCTAACTTTATTCGTGGAGGCATCGGTGAAGGCCTGATGGATTTTCGGAGTTTCACATCTGTCTATACTCTCGCTATACAGGTACTCAAGTCCGCAATCGCCACCGCATACCGTTTTAATCAAAGGCAATTGAACATTTAACAGAGTCTAAGAAATACAGGGTGATCCCAAAGTCCCTTCAACCCCCTCTAACTTTTTTCCTAATTGAGGTAAAGATTTGAAACTTGGGGGATGTTCTTAGGTCAAAGGGAGCTACTTTTTGGCCCTCCTAAAATTTTCAGAGGGGGCAACCGATCCCAACTTTTAATTTTCAAATGGGAAGACCCCCTTTGTGATAGCTCGTTCGAAAGAGCATAAAAAAAGAAAACTTTTCGCGCAAACTCGAAGTCAATATCTCAAACCGTTTCAAAATGGCGGCCGGTTAAAGTTCAAAATAGCCGAAAATTCACACCGGTTATTTGTCGATGGATTTGTGTGAAAATCGGTACCTAGTCGTTTTTTGAGACGAGAATAACGAATTTGACGTTAGATTTTCCAAAAAACCGAATTTTCCAAATGGTTTTTTTTTCCGGTTAAAGTTCAAAATGACTGAGTTTCCTGTGAGCCGATAATTGCACAAATTTCTCACAGAACCCTCCAAAAAATGTCCTGCTTTTTGGGTAGCCAATTCGGTCATCGAAATGAGGTTTAAAGGGAAACTAATAATGACTCAAAGCTCTGAGAAAAAATTTAAGATGAGTATAGGAACCGTTTCCAAGTTACGAGAGGAGTGGGGCAAAGGAACTAAAATGTCATCCAATTTTTTGCGTTTTCTTGTTGAATTGATGTTACTGCAGGCTTGTAATTATGAGTTCACACATGTTCTCTGCTGTTCAGCATATCAATATCCTGTTTATATTGAACAGCAGCTACACATGCATCAGCAATATTGCCATACAGCAAATCCCAAAGATAAACAATCAAAATACAGCCCCTGTGTGTACCAAAGTGAAGTTTTTTTATTTAAGTGTTGTAACGACGATGTAGGTAATGAAATTTTGCAGAAGTATTGCTTTTCAATTTTGTAAAGGGTGCAATATAAACGTTATTACATTATTACATGGCAATACCGCTACTTTCCACAACATTTCCTGGTATTTGGGGGGGGGGCTTATTTAGATTTTCAGAGAGGCTACATTTATTTGTTTTCTTGTCCTTTTTGCAGATGCTCTTGCTGCGACACGCTATTTTCATCCTTGCAGGCTCTGGAGCATCACAAGGAGGAGCTGGAGCACTGGTCAGGCGACGAAACGAGCGTCTTGCCGTGCCGCCGGTGTCAAGAGGAGGAAGAAGAGGATGACTGTTCTAGTCAGGAAAGCGAGGAACTTGAGCGCCTCTTGTAAAAAGTTGTACTAAAAGAGCACGTGTTAAACCCCTTCGGCTTGACGTTTAAACCTCAAGAAATTTAAGAAAAATTCCCAATTCTCATAGAAAAGCAGAATCCTGTCGCAGGATTGAGTCTTCACGTGGACGGAGAGAGCTAACCCCCTCTTCCATCTATATATTCGGGAGATCGGAGGGAATAAGTAAATTTTTCCGTCCTCGCTAATGCAAGAACAGGCGCGAAAAAAATGGAGCCTTTAAATTCTTTTCTTCATTTGCATCTTCAGGTGATATGAGATACAAATATCTGGACAGGGGCGGTCTGGTTAGGAGTGCCAGAGTGCTTCAGTACCCAAAAACTTCTGACGAGTGGCTCAGGGGGCCCCGTCAAGTTTCTTTTAGAGACTCCCAAAACTTGAAAAACCCACGCACATAAAGGAGGATTTTAGGTTAATTAGAGGGCGTCCCACCCGAGAGAATAGGCCCCGAAAACGTATCAGCACCCCAAAAATTTCCGAGCCCGACCGACACTGTACTTGGGTACAGAAGTAGGTAATTTTGCGTTGAGAAACCGCCATTTTCGTTCATTTCAGAAGCAGTCAAGCAACTTATAGACGTATTTAATTCAGCAGAAACTGTCTCCATCGAGTCGCGATCCCTAAGATCAACAATAAACCAATCGTAGAAGGGCCCGTTAGAGTGCGGCTTATTTGTTTGCTGAAAAAAGTTGGAAAAGCACAGTTTTCCGGTTTCCAATAGGTGCCGTTACAAAAAGAAAGAGAAAAACTGTAAAATTTTAAACCGATTGGACCATAACCGAGTAACCGTTTCGATACAAAAACTGTTTTTTCCCCTGTAAAAACGCGTCGTGGATAAGGAAGTGCATCGGTTCAAGAGAAAAGGGGGCAATTTTACAAAAAAATTATACTTGCAGTGAATTTATTTGCAAAGATATCACTGAATAAGTGCATTCATCGGAACATGTTTCCTCTCCTAGGTCGGAGATAATATTTTCTTCGCTCTCAAAAAGACAACCAAAAAAAAAAAAAAAAAAAAAAACATAAAAGGTCCGTGTCCCCGTTTAGATCTTTGTGAATAAATCTGAAAAGAATAAGGACAAATCTCTGACGATGTCAACAAGAAATATTGTTGTTCAATATCTAAAACAAATTACCTACATAAAAATAAAACACGAGTAGAGGTGTGCACTTTTCTCTTCCTCCCTTATTCCTCTCTCTCCCCCTCCCTCTCCCCCCTCCCTCTCTCTCACCCATCTCTCTCCATCCCTCTCTCCCCCGCTTTCCTCCATCTCTTTCAGCTTTTATTTCCAACCTTATGCCTTCTTTACGAGCCCCTAATCGACAATGTGAACTTGGGTAATTATAACTCCAAACTTAAAAAAGAGGAAAAATAAAGAAGGAACTTGTTTCATTAGTCACAGAATACATGTATGCTTCAGAAGTATTGCATGATCTATACGGTATTAAGCACCAAGAGGAAATGTAATGTCCCTCAAAATACTTACGAACAGTTTTCATTTAAACGTGTTGTGAAACAACCCGAGGTGTTGCCAAACCCAGAACTCATTCAAAATATCAACGAATACCTAAAATTTGATGGCCTCGTAATAGAATTAAAAATGCCCCAAGACGATAATATCACGGCAGTTTCTCAGCTGGGAAAAGTATGGTCTTCAAACATTTCCTTCCTCTTTAGAAAAATTATCAACAGAATAAACCAACCGGTCCTGAGTTGGAAATTTTTGTGATTATACCGGGTGTTTCAGAGCACCCTTCCACTATCTTATTCTCAGAAACGGCCGCGAATTGAACTTCAGGGCAAATACCTCCAGGGCTTACTCAACCCCGAAGAATTCAATGAAAATACTTTCAGCCCCCCAAAACCCCATGGGAGGGGGTTCAGGGAGGGGGGGGGTACTGGTGCCACCCGTTTCTCGCATTTTTCAAGTAGAAAGGGTATGTTTTTACTTCGGATTTAAAGTCTATATGACCACAAGTAAGAACTTTTTGTTCTATGCTATTTTTCCCTAAACCCTCATTTTTTGGAGTTATCGGGCATTTTGAGGCACTTTTTGGGCCAATTTCAAGTAGACACTGTTGGCGTTAAAATTATCCGATTTTCAAATCTAAAAGTATCTTCGGAGAAGAGGTCAATACCTTTTTACTTTCTCGCTTCCCTTATGGGTAGAGGAAGTATCGTCATCGTCCAAGAAGGAAAAAAGAAAAAGTTGAAATTTATAATTTCTAAGTGTCTAAAGGTGCCTAGAGTCAAAATAACCATTCTTGAAAAAATATGTGCACGTCCTTTCGGCGGTCCTCCAAATCTGTAAACAGCCGTATATCTCAGAATCTATCGGTTCAATTCATTCAAAATTTGCATGGAAAAACATATCTATGGTCCCCTCATGCACGTCAAGTGATTTTGGGGCACTCCAAAATTTGGGGAGGCTAGGGCCAAAACATGATTTTTATCATATTCACACGGAGAGCTCACTTTGACCGACTATAGATTTTGAAAAAATGTCTTTAATTATTTGAAATTTGGCAAAAAGTACCACATGGGTCATTAATTTAAGTTCCTAAAAGATCTTTGGACTAAACTTAGAATTGAAGGGATACGGGTCATATAGCGAGGGCACTTTGTTCCGCGAGATCACACAAAGAGCTCACTGAGAACAGCTGTAGATTTTGTAGGAAGGCCTTTAATTCTTTGAAAGTTGGCACCTGGGTCATTAATATAAGTTCCTAAAAGATCTTTGAACTAATCTCAAAATTGAAGAGGGACCAATAGCAAGCTGTCAACTCTCCGCTAAATGAGACAGAACATTCCTGGGTATTGCAAGTGCTTTGTGTCAGGTGAACCGGGAGGCTTTCATCCTCGCGCTTTTTTGCGAGCATTATCATCCTCTGCATGTGCATGAAATTGCAACACTGTAAAAGAATATGTCGACGGTGAAACTACCAAACCACGTATCTCGGTTTGCGACGTCGGAGACTTCCTGTCATACTTTATTTTTTAAATGAAAAACTACTTAACGTCCAGTCTTGAAAATTTCTGTGATTTTTCCTCTTCGTGCGGAGAAAATTCTGTGAAAATTTCAAGGAATGATATTGATTTGGTCTACCTCAAAAAAATAAAATGCGAGCGTAGATTTTTAAACACCGCAAACGAGATACGTGGTTTGGTAGTTTCACCGCCGATGTATCACTCATCAGTCGCCATTTTTCAAATCAAGCTATCGTCATTTTCTTCGTCAATATTATTAGGGTCTGTTGTTTAGGTATTTGAAGCTGAGCATAAGTGTTTCTCCTCCTATTTCTCGCAAGAATTGCAAAGTTGTTATATATTTGTAGGTGTAGGAAGCTTGCGTCATGGAGATGATATTTTCTTCTAGTACAGCCTGATGTTTCCTTTTCTTATACAAATCTCCCTATAAAGCGAACTTCATTTTCAGAGATACCATACCCTGATTATCTCAAATGGTTTTCAAGAGTTGATGGACGTTCGGATGAGCGTAGTGAAATTCCAACTGATGTTTGTCATGAAAGCTCTCGACTCCATTTGTTGAAGTAAACTCAATGTCAGTTAAGGGACATGCCCATAAAGTTGGTGGAAAAAAATGATGTGGTGTTAATGTAGTTTTTTTTCTACATATGCTGTAAATTTTGCGCAGTCAGGAGGTCGAGGTGGTATTATATTTTTCAATTCTTGAAATGTAGATGCTGCATCAGCAGGATCTAGATATGACGAAGAGAAAAATAATTTTAACCACAGTTTTATTCGAAATATTTCACTGTCATCGTCAATTTTGTAATATTATGCACATCGTAGGGTTTTTGAAAGATGAATACGCTTCCTCCAACCTTGGTGTAAATGAAATTTGCGAGCGCTCAAAATTATTCCTGGAAATGTTTTTTTAACAGCATTATGTGCAACTAGTTCGAAACTAGGTATACTCTTTCTTTGACCGCGAAATTTGTAAAAATTTGTGCTCTTGTATTCTGAATTGCAGGCCCGAACAAAGGGCGTGTGGCGCACACGGCCGCCAGCATTTGGGGGGCGCCACGAAAGAAGAAGAGGGAAAAAAGGGAAGAAAGAGAATGGAAAAAAAGGAAAAGGGAACAAAGGCAAAGGAAAAAAGGTTGAGCAGTGAAGGCAAGGACTCAAGGAGGAAGGGGGAAATGGAAGGAAAAAGTAGGAAAGGAAAGTGAAAAGAGTTCGCGAGAAAAGGGGGGGGGGCTTAAAAACATACCATAGACAAAATATAGAGAGAATTAAATTGTCGTCTAAAAGTAAATTTTCAGGACTTAAACTCCACCTGATCTTTAGACGTTCAAGCGCCCCTTGACCCTGCATTTGCGGCTATACGGAAATACAAGAGTGCCCATGTAGTAAGGGGGCGCCTTGAACTATGCACTGTTTTAAGCAGGCGCTGAGCGCGCCCCCCCCCCCCACTTATACCACATTTTCCAAGAATTAGGGGACGCCGGCCGCCTCCCCATAGGTCGCCCCTTCAGTCTACGTTGCTAGATCGCAGCTCCGCGGACAGCCTAGCGAATTTGATGCGGCGCACGATGTTCAGTATGTTTCACGCGATAATAAGTGAACGGGCACTGCCGCCGGCGTAACTTCCATTTATAGGAAAATGCAACTTCCAGGACCATGGGCGTACGAAAGAAAGGGGCCCACCCCCTCCTAGAATTGAAAATAGTATTAGTGTCCCCCCTCAGAAATTCTGGATGGTGGGAAAAACTTCCGTCGAGGATTATCATCTCTTATTAGAGAGTCTTTAATGAAAACACAACGTTCATTCACTTAATAAAATCTAAAATTTTCATCATGGAAGCCTAAGAATGCGTCAAAATTGAGATGAAATTTCAAAAATGTTCCAGTTGTGTTGAATGCAACAATTCGAAAATATTTTAGGCTAAAAGTAAAAAATAAATGTAATTTTTTCGCAGAAATTGATGGCAAATCTGCGGCACGGAAGCATCAAAATGCGTCCAAAGAGATTTTAAAAGTAAAACATTTTCCGAGGGGGGCCCCCCTGAACCCCCCCCCCCCCCCCCCTTTGAACTGAGTGGTATTCCATACCCCCAGTGGTAGGGGGGGGCAGGTTCCCCCACGTAATAACCCACGTACGCTAATGTTTAGAACAAATGTCACAGTAATATGAGAGGTGACAAGTGTAGAGAATTGAGGCGTGGTGCTTGCATAACATGCTAAAAGTCTCAGTGTTGAGAGACCTATACTGCCCGGCAATATCCTTTACGATATTGCACCCGACCCCGTCGCAGGATAGATTACCCACCAAAAATATGTTAAATGTTTATTAGACCAGAAAAATTTTTATTGTCGATTGCAAAGTCGTAATAGTCAACCAAAACATTTTAACCTGATAATTATGTTTACAACATATTTTGCTGAAAGGGTCAACTTTCTACGGAAGAATTATACATTTTGGACATTTTCTGGAGGATACACCCCCGCGGTCCCTCGAGGGATGGAGCAAGGTAACCCCCCCCCCCCCCCTGCAATACCTCAGGGAAAGGGGGATTGATACCTCCGTGAGGGGAGCGCCTGGTCCTTACTCGCAAACGGGCGCCAAATATCTAGGTCCGGCACTGCTAAATTGTCATATCGCTTGTCACTTTTTATAAGTTTATTAAAACTATTTTCATTCATCGCTAAAATCTGAAGGCTAAAAACTTTAAAATCACAAATATCGCAAAAACACGATTATCACGTAAATTATCACAGACCGACGAAGTAATTTGTTGTTCGCGTCAGCTGACAAGAGGTCACTAACTTCATTTCAGACGTGTCACATTTCGGTGACTGAGTGGAATCAAGGAGCGTTATCAGTTCAAACGGGGTCCACCATCAGATACTATCATCTCAATGCATTTTCCAATGCGATGTTGCCAAGCTGTGTAAGGAAATACATAAAATCCTAAAAAAAAGTGCGAGATTGAATTGTGCGAGGATGATACGCAGCCTGAAACCTAGGATTTCAAATGTATTAGGTATCTCCAAAATTACTCCGTACACATCAAGCAAAATTAGACGACTAATTAGTTACTTACATATTATAAATCATCCAAGCTGACACTAAAGCTAACACTTAGATCTTTATTGGGAGCTAATATGTATTTCGTTCATGAACTCAAGCGTCCCGGCAGATTCCATCCTTCGCGGTTTCTTTTTACGAGGTACTGAACACAAATATAATAATACTGCACGAACACGATTGATTCCTTGATTACAATGATCACACGAAGCATGAAGCAACTATTTTATTTACCAAATTACCACACACGGGAGATGTGACAAGTGAGGTTAGTGACAAGTTAGAAAGGCTGTGAGACTCTGGCGCGACACCGCTCTCCCGCGGCGGATGGGTATAGTGGTGAATCATTTCAAGCTGGTAGAGGTCCCAGACGGAGAACCTTGTATATTGCTAATTTCAACGCACTTGGTACATCCACCTTGTTGCCGAATGGCCGAATGGACACGCTTGCACGTCGAACTGACGAGAATTCGAGTCCCTAAGTTACGCCTAAAATTATACCGGTCCTATAAATCCCGCATCATGATTCGTGGTCTAAGTAACTCACAAAACTCTTTTTTTTATATTAATTTCAGTTTGAAACTAGTTGTGGCAATTAAAAATAGGTCAGCACCTAGTTCAATTAAAGATTTCATGTTAAAGCTGTGCCTTCATGTTAACTTTGACACCTTTTGCGAGGCCGGCGCGGAGAGCCGGCTTGAGCGAGAAAGTTTATGTGCGGTCTTCGTACCACACAACGAAGCCCCCCCCCCCCCCGGCACAAAGCGCCTCGTATAAATTGACCCAATTTTTATTGATATGGCACGTGACCCCTATTGATCCAAAATTCTGGGGGCCACGATCTCCCGAAAATTTCGCGGCTTAAGTAGAGCCGGAAGTCGAAAATTTCAAACGGCAAAAGTATGTCTTGACTTCAGATTTGGATTCTACGTGAAAAGTTACGTAGACTCGCAATGGCGCATGACCTATTTGCTTCAAATTACTTTAGAACCCAATTTCCCCATAAGGAGCTGTGTATTTTTGGAGAAACAAAGGGGCCAAAAAATTTTGGGGCATATGGGTCATACGTCATCACAATTCTACGTAACTTTTTGCGTCGAATCCAATTCTGAAGTCAAAACATACCCTTTGGGGGGGGGGGGGGTGTCTTTAACCTCCACGAGTGTATCAAAATGAGCTCGCTCTTATCGTATCGCTTCGGATTCCGAATCCTGATCCCCCAGCATTTGCAAATGAGTAACAAATTAATGAATAATAACAAGTAAAAGATGGAAAACTACTTTACAAAGACACCTCACTTACAAAAACCAAGAAATCTAGCAAAATCCTCTGCTCTACAATGGACCAATAGACAAGGTACGAATTTAAGCATTCCAATACATGTTTCTTGACCAGAATTTCACGTAGAACACGATTTGCGTAACGAAAATTACCGAAATCAACTCCTAACAAAGATATTAACGTTTATATTTCACATTGGTTACGAGGAGTTTGAACTGCCCGCTCACAAGAAACTCAAAGCTCTACGTGAGTCAAATCGTGCACTACAACGGTTTCAGCAAGCTTCTCAATCAAGCGATGTTCATTTCCCACAATGTACTGTTCAAACTATGAACAACTTGCAATAGCTGAGCTAAAGCGTCAAGATTAAGGTTGCCAGATTTTTGTATCGCAGAGACTGTCATGATAACGTTTAGCGCGCGATGTGAGTCACGTAGAGCATTGAGTTTTCATGAGCGGGTGGTTTGAATTCACGCATCAAGAATCATTAAATATCTTCATAACGGGTTGATTTCGGTAATTTTCGATGTGCGCATCGTATTTTGCGTGAAATTTTGATTATGAAACGTGTATCAGAATGCAGAAATTTGAGCCTTGTCTACTGGTCCATTATGCCGGACTGGCTCTACTAAATTTAGGAGAAGGGTTCGCGATTAACTCACCGGCTAACACTACTCACTCGTGAGGTCGACACTCCGGCACCGTCCTCTGACACTACATCGGAATTTATTTATTGTTACTTTTCTTCATGTTTATTTTTTCAAAATCTTTAATTTTAATATCAATTATTGTTTTGAAATACATTTTACATTTGTAACAATTTTCTTTGTTGTTTAACATTAATAACATTAGTTCCATTATATTACTCTTTTCAATTTATTCTTTTACATCTTTTTTCCAATTCTTCTCTCTCTTTACAAAATCTATTACATAAAAAAAAGACATGTTCCGGGTTGTCGACCGTGTCACACTCTGGACACAGGGGAGATACAATTATTTTACGTGTAAATAGATATTTTCTAAAAGATCCATGTCCCGTCAGAAACTGGGTAACGTAGTAATCAGGGTTACCATGTTTCCTGTCAAGCCATCTATCTAGGTTTCCGATCATTCCTTTAAACCAGGAGAACCTTTCATGCTGTTGTCATACTTCTCTCCATTTATCTCTAGTGTTGTTTAAGATCTCCTCGTTTTCTTACTTTCTAGCTTTTCTTAGCTTTTCCTCGATCAATATGTCTGTCGGCGGGATCCCGGATATTGTATCTATCGCGAAGTTTGATACCGCGGTATAAGCGCTACATAACGACAATTTTAACGGCCTTAAGTTCGATGTTATCTTGTTTACGTTTTTCTTTCTATTAATTTTCCGGGGCCCATATCGTTATCCCATAAAATAAAATCGACATTATTACATGAATTAGCAATTTTCTTTTTAGGAATCCAGGTCCTTTATGATTGGGCAAAAGACTTCTAAAATACCTAACCGGTTGTTCTCTTAACTTTCGCGCAGGTTGCAGGATATGATAGGTCTTGTTTAATTCAGGGCTTATCCAGAAACCAAGATATTTTAATGTTTTTCCTGTTGAAATGATTGTTTCATTTACTATTATTTCTGCATTTTTTTCTGCCTCATTGTCAGTAGAGCCTAATATCAATACTTTTGTTTTACTATCTTCAGTATCATGTCCTTTAGTTCTGAGTTTCTTTTTAAAACTCTTATTTGTTTCTTTAAAAAAAAAAAACACATACCTACCCTTACCATTTGAAATTTTCGACTTGGCAGTGTCTAATTGAAATTCGCCCAAAAAATGCCCCGTAACTCCAAGAAATGGGGGTGTAGGGAAAAAAATATGGAACGAAAATATGTTAGTTTTGGCCGTAGAATTTAAAGCCGAAGTCAAAACATACCCTTCCTATTAGAAAAATGGGAGAATCGGGGTTCTCCCCACCCCTCATGGGGTTTTGGGGGGCTGAAAATATTTTCTTTGGATTCTTCATTTGCCCTGAAGTTCAATCCCTCGGCCGTTTCCGAGGGAAAAAGAGTGAACGAGTGCTCTGAAACACCCGGTATTTATGTACCTATAATGCCTATAATGTGTATAAGGATTTTAGGTAAACTACCGAGGTTTGGGTGCTGATTTTAATTATTGATTTTGATTAATCAAAACCAGGTTCCAAGAGGAGGACATATAAAAACGAAAAACTACCTACCAATGGAGATGCTGCATGTGTGAGGAATTTGCGATTTGACTATTCTTACGTAAAAATTCGTGAGAAACACGATAGTGGCGCTAGTTTTCCCTGAAATCAACTCACAAGTTCAAAAAAGCTCTCAAAGTTGAGGACGTAATGGCGGGAATATCCCACTCTATCCTGAGAGTCCACCTCCCCATCAAGACAAACTCTCCATGCAAAGATAGGAAGCAAATTTATCAGGAGGGTTGCCGTGTTTTAAGTTTAAGAGGTCCCAAATGAAGTGGCAGCCCTAGCAATGTATATACTCCCTATCTTTGCATGGAGAGTTTGTCTTGATGCAGAGGTGGACTCTGAGGATAGCGTGGGATATCCCCTCCATTACACCCTCAACTTCAAGAGCATTTTTTGAGCTCGGGAGTTGATTTCAGGGAAAACCAGCGGCACTGTCGTGTATTCTTCGCGATTTTTTGCATAAGAATGAATAGACAAATCGCAAATTACTTACAGATGCAACATCTCCATTGTTCAAAAATCGAATGCGTAAAATCAACAGAAATTTTCATCCAAAGTTCATCACAAAACGCTAATTTGAGGGGAAGTGGGTTCAAACTGAACATCGTGAAATTGTTTTAGAAGAATCCACACTTGTGTTTTATAAACGTAATGAGGAGGCGGTGGGTATAAAAAATTTGATTTCGAATGTAATCTACATACACCTAGGTACCCTAGGTAGGTTACCTAGGTACCTACATATCCTGTCTCAGTTCAATGTCTTTTAGATTAATGGAGGCAACTGTGCTTACAAACTTTATTACCAGCTAACTTATGTTAAACAGTACCTACCTGTGTAGGTCTGTACCTCCTCACCTGCATAGAAAAAGGTATGCAATTCATTGCAGGTGCCGATTAGATTTTTTCAACTGTTAATATCTTTTTTTGAATGACCATAATCTTGGATCTACGCCAGTGCTGTTGTGCTTGCACATATGTTAGGTACCTGGTAACATTCCCTTGTGGTATTTTTGACCTACTTACCTAGTGGCATACCAGGCTATAAGATTATATAAAATTTCGAAGAAATTGTGTACCTTTTTTGATAAGGGATATACATGCGAACATGAGCCTTTAAAATGCCAAGATAATGCAAAAAATTTTTTTCGGATGCTCTCATTGATGGTAGTCTCAAACTGTCTACCCCTCAACCCTGTATTTTTCGACCTTGTGTACCTGAGTATTATTTTTGTACATAAGAACGAAAATTTTAAACCCGAAAAACAATCCTGACGGTCAATGACCGTTCTTAATTTTAAACGGTGTAAGTTAAGCACATGAAAGCCCTCTCCAGGTACTCGTTCTTCCAATATTGTTTTGTAAAAAATCCTTTTTCTACAAATTGTGAAACATTCAGGCTTCCCTCATCATTCCCTTAATTTAACCTATCTATGACGTTTTCTTTTTGCATATCAGTTCTACTAGTGTTACTAGTAAGTACCAAAATAATTGATGGGCAACAAGCCGTTTGATTGTCAGATACTTACACTCGATGTGGATTAAATTATTGGAATGTGCATGTACAGAACATGAATGAATACTAAATATATAATTTTGAATTATAAAATGATTTGTGTGCTTTGATTCATTGTTTACTGACCCAATAGACCTAACTAGGGGGCTATGCCCCCTGGCCGCTACGCGGCCCAACCCCCAGAGGACGCTTCGCGTTCTCTTAGGCCCGCGTCGACAACAGAACGACCAAAAAAAATGAAAATATTTTCACACCTGGCCGGGAGCAATTGGGCCAATAAGAATCGAATGAAAAAATTGGCATTTATTTCACACTAAACGCCAAGACTTTTAAGAAACGGAACGGAGCTTTTCGTCACTTTTGGATAGTCTGTTACAAAGGAGCATACCTCCGATTCACTTACCCTACTAACAGACCAAGATTCAAAATTTCCCGTTTACTTCAATTTTCCGCTAAATTTGAAATTCTCGCCATTTTTCATTGGCGGGAATTTCAAATTTTGCCCCCTTTCTAAGCTTTCTGGCCTCCCTTAATATAAAAAAATCTGGGTCCTATTCTCAAATTCTGATTACAGCGGGCTCATTTGAGGATATCACCTGTCGGTAACTGCAAAAATCATGGAAATCGGCCCAGCAGAACGCTCAAATGAACTATGACAAAAAATAAAAAATTACAATGTTTAAATGGGAGAATTCGCAACTTTACCACGTAATATAAGAAAACCAGGATCATCTTTTCAAAATCTAAATAAAACGGGCTCATCTAGAGACAATTGCCTGTTGATAGCCGCAAAAATCATGAAAATCAGCCCGGTAGAACGCTGGAACTAAGCGTTACCAGATAAGCAAATTTAGGAGGTCTCGGAGCTTATATATGTTACGTCACATTTCGAGATATATCACGATTTTAGGCCTGGTGCCCCAACCGGGATTCGGTCGGTTCGATTTACATGGGATTTCCCATAAGGAACGGAAAGTCAATAATCAAACGCTAATTCTGGGTAGTTTCAGACAGTTCCTGCCGGATTTTCTTGCGATTACGAGTTCTATAAATCCTCAAATGTGCATTTCTATCTGGTAAATCCCCAATATCGCGGTGCCGGACACGGGAGCTGTCAGCATCAGATTCCGGGTGCAGATACCGAAACGACGGTGGTGGCGCACAGCGGATGGCACAGGAGTTGGGGCGCTCCGCGGGAACATAGAATAATAATAACTAGCTGACTATTTTCTGACTGTAGCTGAGCTATTTTTTATTCTATGGCGGGAATATGTGAACAATACCTATATGAAGCGTGTGGCTCGCTTTCAGTTCCCGAAATCCCGATCCGTGTCCGGTGCCAATCAATAGTCCCAAATACCTAGAGCTAATGTAAATCAAATATGGCATCCAAAATGGCCACCGGTTTTACGGCTGAAACACCAATTTAGCGCAGCTATGATAAGCAATACTTACAAAATTTAGTTTTATGGGCAAGGAGTTCGAATAGGAGATCAAATGTTTAGGTACTCCTACAAAAAATTGAGCCTCCGAATCAAAAATGGCTACCGACATATGGTTGCCAGTTAAAGGTGCAGACCGGTAAAGGACTATTGATATTGAAGGGATTTGCCGAAGGAGGGGGTTCGATAAGGGCCGTAATGGTAATGCCGTAGGGGTAATGTATCATGCTTTGGTCATTTTCGGTCTATTTTGGGGTCTAATGCTGGCCTAAACATGAGTCTGAAGGCTAATTTTGGCGGAAAATACCTACGGGTTTCTTGGCATTCGACTGTTTCATAACGATCATATATCATCGGAGGAGGAAATTTTCCTTCAAGTACGTTCATTGAGGGTGTTAGATAGTCACTCTGGTCAACTTTCGTCGATGGCAAACCTTGCGCTCACAGTTAAAACGAACTTTATAGGATGTTATTGTTTTTCATCATTATTTAAAATGGCATAAAAAGGGCTACTCATCTTAAACCAGAAATAGATTCCTCGGCGGAAAATGTACGTAGCCCTCAAAAAACTTTATGGAATTAAAATTCCCTCCATCCTCCTCCCAAGAAATAGCCGGTGTTGCCATATTTTGTTGCCTAAAATCACAGAAAACTATTTGGAGGCTGTTCTTCGTCGAGCTCATTCAGAAAAGTTCAAGACCCTTGATTCTTCATACGTAACGATCACATGACTGGTGATTAAGTACATGCATTTATCCATTATTATTTTGTTTATTACATGTATTTATCTAAAGAAACTCCCGTGGCGGCGCGGCTTCTGGAAAAACACTTATGTGCATAGGAAAACTAATGGCACATACGTTGTTTTTAAACCGGGCTAAAATCTATAGGTCCAAATTGCAAAATGTGGTCCAATTATAATACTCAAATTGCAAATAAAGTTGCTCTCAAAAATTAAAGCTGGTCAATGTGATTTACATACTTTGGAGGATAATCACATCTCTCAGATGATTGGCCTTTGTGTTGATTGAATTTGAACTATTCCCAACCACTGAACTAGGTACTTGACGAATTTTATTTACAAAACTAAGGCCCTTCTGCATTCAGACATAGTCACTTAGACAGTCACATAGTCACAGTATTACCCTTAGGATAACCACTTCAAGTAACACATTTTACACAATAAATCCCAGGCTAGATGTGTACTTTTTCAACAGTTCCTCATTTTTTCAAGACTTTGAGTTGAACTAGGTCAGAAGTGAATCATAATAATATAATCTTTCTACGATCAATTTCCCAAATTCTATTTTCATATTTCTTTACAAATTTTACAAGATAACAACACAGCAGTATCTAAAACTGATTACTACTCTGAACAAAAAACAGAACACAAATAACAGTAGAGTGAAATAATGGACGAAATGCACGACAAATACAGAGAGTAAAAGTGGGACTAAAAGCCAAATGAAGGATTATCTGTTCCAATTCAAGCCCAGCATATTTCGTACCTGTGAACCAATACAAGAGAATTAGTTTACAAACAATATTATGGTGTTTCCCTATAAAACAGTACAACTTATTAGAAAAAGACACTATAACTGAGTTTTTTTTTTAATTTATTATTTTGTAGTTCTTCATTTTGACTATTCATTTACAGCAAAAGTAAAAACCTATACCTTGCATTGAGCATTTTCTCTTTTCATTCTGTTTTGAAAAATGTTGACCCTGACGGGATATTGCACTTAAAGCCTGTCCTTCTCCTGGGACTCTGTATATGTATTGAGGAAAATCGATTTTGCAGCAGAGTTTTATATACATACCCTCGTTTGAGTGTAGGTATCAGGAAACTGAATACTAAGGATCAATAGTTAGGGATTGAACAACTTGACGAGGAGACTGCATATCAGTGACGCTCTCTTCTCAAAATCCTATGAGATCTCGACCAGAAGTCCGTTTCAGTTGGCCTAACAATTTTTTAAGATCTCTCTTCTAACTATAAAATCTCACTCCTATAGGTTCAAATACTTTTCGTAATGGCACTGTATATCTTCTTTTTGATTTCCTTGAAATTTCTCTGCTCCCAGAAAATCTCATTTAGTATTGCAATAGCGTTCATTTCTTGAGAATTACTGTCTTCGTTGGCTCAAGTGGATCAAAAAGATTGAGTACTATCACTAAATTATAAGAAAGCTTTCAATTTGGTTGACTTTGTCGTGTTTGTTTACACAGCTACCTAGAAATAACAACGATTTTAACTGGTCCTATAAACGTTGTAATGTCAAGGTTTTAGAGTATTTCTTCCTTGATGAGTTTCATTTACATCTTTCAATGGATCAGCCGTGTGCTGAAATGTCAAAATTTCGACCCTGTTGAGTGATCCGTTGACATCGAGGAGGTAAAACAGGATTCACTTACAGTTGTGAAAGTTACATTTGCTACATCCTTCGCTAAGGTTGAGGCTGACTCAGATTTCATCAAAACAGTGTGTAGTTGGACAGCATCCTCTATCCGGCGATTGAGAAAATGCCAAGTATTCTGATAATCAGGGGATGTATCTTGCAAAAAATACAATTCTGTCACTTTGTAAATACTGCCAACTCCAAGACGTTTTGCATACCATGTAACCTAAAGCAGAGATAAAATAATTGTACGACAGAACCGTTTACGGAATGTCTAAATGCATCAAAAATATCTATTATTTTATAATCTAATATATCTAAATTGCGAAAAATGACAGAAAATCCATATCACGGCTGTTTACCGATGGATTTGCACAAAAGTCAATACTCTGGTGGTTTTTGGCTCGAAAAAAATTAATTTTCATTAAATTTTTGGAACACTGAATATCGTCAAAATGGTGGCGGAAAAATAACGGAAAATCCGCATCCACCATCGCTATTCGCATTTTTGCCGCCATTCTAAAGTTTTTAAAAATTTCAAAACTTCCAATGAAAGATTCGTTCTCGTGCCGAAATACTCCCGGATACCAAGTCTCATGCAAATCCGACGATAAGCAGCCTAAATATCCACCTCCCGCTCTAAGCCGCCATTTTAACCGCCGCCATTTTGAAAAGGACTGACATTTCTGGAAAACTAATGCCAGAATCGTTTCTTTCGTCCCGTAAATCCTAGGATTTTGAGTTTCAGACCAATCTGCCGATAAAAAACGGAGATGCCAAATTTCCACCATTTTGAACTTTGACCGGCTGCCATTTAGTAAAAAATAAACATTTTGACCTGCGGTTTGCGCCAAAAATTTTCGTTTTTATTATCTTTCGAATAAGGCATCACGAAAGGGGGGTTGCAGAGGAAATGAGGGGGTGCCAACTCCCTGAAGGACTTGGGACGGATAGGGGACTTTGGCGGCTGAGTATTGCAGAACACAAATGAGCGCCATGAAAGCAGCTTTTATGTATGTAGGTTAAAAAATAAAGTATGATAGGAAGTCTGCAACTGTGAGATACAAGGTCTAAGTTTAGCCATCATTATTTTAATACTTACATCAACAGAGCGATCACCAGAGTAATAGCAGATATCATCAGCTAACATCATAAGATTTTGAATGGAGTGAGGAGCATTTGGTGGGAGTGCCATAATTGCTAGGGCCTGAGGCCATTTAGGCAAGTATGGGATTATCATTCGCAGTCGAGCTTCGATTGCTTCAGCCACAAAAACTTGAGGGTCCTTCTTTCTGAAATTAAAGAGAGAACTTACCTTGCATAGAGTGTACTTCTAAGTAAGAATATCAATTCTTTTCTGCTAACTGTTTGTGCATTGACGAGCTTTTTAATGTAAGGAAACATCAAATGATACAGATACTAAATCTATCGATATCACAAATTATAGAAAAACATGCAAAGTAAATTAGCTTCCTGAGAAAAGGGTCTATGCAAAAATATCATGTCAACCATGTTTCGTGCTATTACCCTTTCATGGCCTAAACGAACTGGCCCAGGAAATCCATTCCTTATATTTACAAGAAAAAAGGGCCCATACGCATGACGGTCTATTTTACAATAAGCTTTTGTTGAACACATCAATGTTTGTCTTGTCTCCAATGTAACTGAGCCTAGACATTTAAATTGGGGAATTTCATGAACTAAGAAATTGAGGTTTACTTTTAGTCATTATTTCTATAACTCTAGCCTTTCCATGATGGGCCAGTGACTACAGAATGTAATAGTCATTCCAAACATTTACAAGAAATGGTTTGACTGTTTTGAAACTTAAAATTTTGAACATAGATTAGTCTGGATGGATAACATACTTATTTTCTGCAGCAGCTCCTTCAGTCTCAAGCTTCATTTTAAGCGCCAACTCCCTATTACAGGTACTATAAAAATATTCAACTAGGTTTGCTCCTCCTCGAGGAAACATACCGTGAACTATGCCAGGATAACCAACAGCTTCAGCACCTAAAACAGAACCGTAAATAGAGTTTGAAATCTAGAAATGAAATGATTCAAAGTTGATGAAATGTTCCTATAACTACTTATCAGGATGTTTACAGACTGGGTGGGAAAAAACTCCCTGTCTGATGCGGTTTTTCTGCTCAAAATAATAAAAATTCTCTAACTTTTCACATAAACTGATTCACTGATTTGCAGACGTGGAATTGAGAACAAAAATTTTTGGTATTAAATTTACTACTAATGACAGAAACATGTGGATCAACAGTGAACATGTACCTAAAGAATAACTTGAGGTAACAATGGGGCAAAATGGAGCAAACATGACGGTGAAAAAATCAACTAGATGAAAGATCACTTACCAGCTGTGATAGCGCTTTTAGACCAGCCATGCGTATTTACAAAAGGAAGAGCAGCTTTGAAAATTTTCTCCTGAATTTCCTCATCAGTGTTGGATTGAAAAGATTCTGACTTGGGTAATTCAACAAGGTCTTTCACACCAGGGCTACAGTCATTGTGTGCTACAGCCTGACTAGAATTTCTTTGGAAAAGTACAAAAGATCCTAGAACAGTTAATAATGTATAATGGATTAAGAGTCATGTTTCTGGAAGCTACGTTATGAAATTTTGGATTATTAAGAGCAAATAATTATGTACTTACTCAAAAGAGTCTAGAATAACCTCGGAGCTACTGCCTCTTACTATGCATGTAAAACTACATATTATACACAGGTGTAACAACTTAAAACTATGAGTAGGACAAAACAATTGACAAATCATCATTTCATATTATCAGTCATCCTATCATTTTACATTACTTCCTACTTATATAGACCTTACCTCAATAATTTTACTTATTGGGGCTTCATAGCACAACACATTACAACCATTAATAATTTTAAAATTTTGAATTCCTCTTACAAAAACTTTCAGACTTTCGCAATTCTACAATAATGTTGGGTATCAATATGAGAAATTCGACCATGAAAATATTTGAAATGATTTGTTCACAGAAATATCAATAGTTAATCGTCTCAACTCCTGAGTTTTAGTATTTGTTGGGAATAAAATTGCTGAATTGTTTTAGACTATTCCATGATAAATTAAAAAATTTAGTTATCTTACCATATCTTATCATTCCACAGATGTTTCATGACGCTTCAAATTAAAGGAAGAAATATATGTATATATATAAAAAAAGATTGGTCCTGAAAGAGTTGAATCTGGTTTAATTTCTACCCTTTATTCGTTTTGGCCAAGCAACTTGAAATTGTTTTTATTAGGTGATATTATCAAACTATGATTAATTTTTGTGGTTCTGGTTTGCAAAACGAAAGGAGGGGTGGCGATTTGGGACGTTTCCGGCCCAACCTAATCCGGGACTTTTCTTGCTGTGATTCGTTATGTATGAGTGTCAAGTGCCAAGTTTCAGTCACATGCCAAGTTTCAGGTCATATTCGGGGGGCGGGGGCCCCCCAAATTTTTAAGCGCAAAATCGGTTTTAATTTTGTAGCGCCGTCAATCTTACTCGTATAAAGATGAAAATCGGGTTCCGGGGGGTAACATTTTGCGCTCCTTCCATTTCCGCCGTCAAAATTGGCATTTGGGCAAAATTGAGGGGGGTTTTACGCGTTTTTCTGCGTTTTTTACCAATTCTCTACGGTTTCCATGCTCAAAGTCAGCATTTTTGAGCCAAACGACCACAGATTTGATTTCTACGCAAAAAATTACACAGGAATTACATGGCCAACCGACAATCAACCGTGGATTTCTCTAGGAAAAACTGACCCATAAGTATGTGTTCACTCACAATGTTTGAAAATAGCCATGTTTCGAGTACATACAGCCCAAGCTTGTAGCACTAACATTTTCACATGTGATACGCTCCAGGTCAACCCTGTTGATATTATCCGGGACTTGAAATGCTACCCGCTTGGGCGGAGGGTCGAATCCTCCACAGAAACGAATAAAAAAGGCTATAAAACTACGTTGCACGTGAATCGTTGCGAGAGGAATGTTATTATATCGGCACCTTTCACCTCCAACTTATGTAATTTTTTGCGTGTTTTCTTTTGCTGCCATCAAAATTGGCATCAAAGCAATTTTAAACGGTGTTTCTTGGGGGTTTTTCCATCATTTTTTCGCATTTTTTACCAGTTTTTTGCGGTCTTTTGCGGATTTCACGTTTGAAACCTCACCAAATAAACCAAACGACCACAGATTTTACTTTCAGATAAAAAATTGCATAGGGATAAGTAGGTCAACTTACATATCAGCGGATTTTTCTAGATAAAAACTGACCCAAAAATACAGGGTGATCCCGACCACCCGTCCATTATCTTCTTCTCGAAAACGGTGAAAAATTGAGCTTCGGGACAAAAACTTTCGTAAGGTAAATCGACCCCAAAGAATCGAATGAAAATATTTTCACCCCCTCAAAATCCCCTTGAGAATTGATATGGCGCATGGCCTCTTTGCTTCATTTTTTTTTTTTTTACCCTTATTTTCTCCAAAAATACACGATTTTTATGGGGAGATGAGGTTCATCAGTAAAATGGATCAAACAGGCCGTACGCCATGTCAATTCTACGTAACGTTGCACGTAGAATCCATATCTGAAGTCAAAACATACCCTTGCCATTTGAAATTTTCGACTTACAGCCCTCCAAAGCCCCAAAAACACCCCCACGGGCATTTTGGGGGGCTGAAAATATTTTCATTCGATTCTTTGGGGTCGATTTACCTTACGAAAGTTTTTGTCCCGAAGCTCAATTTTTCACCGTTTTCAAGAAGAAGATAATGGACGGGTGGTCGGGATCACCCTGTATTTTTGGGTCAGTTTTTATCTAGAAAAATCCGCTGATATGTAAGTTGACCTACTTATCCCTATGCAATTTTTTATCTGAAAGTAAAATCTGTGGTCGTTTGGTTTATTTGGTGAGGTTTCAAACGTGAAATCCGCAAAAGACCGCAAAAAACTGGTAAAAAATGCGAAAAAATGATGGAAAAACCCCCAAGAAACACCGTTTAAAATTGCTTTGATGCCAATTTTGATGGCAGCAAAAGAAAACACGCAAAAAATTACATAAGTTGGAGGTGAAAGGTGCCGATATAATAACATTCCTCTCGCAACAATTTACGTGCAACGTAGTTTTATAGCCTTTTTTATTCGTTTCTGTGGAGGATTCGACCCTCCGCCCAAGCGAGTAGCATTTCAAGTCCCGGATAATATCAACAGGGTTGACCTGGAGCGTATCACATGTGAAAATGTTAGTGCTACAAGCTTGGGCTGTATGTACTCGAAACATGGCTATTTTCAAAAATTGTGAGTGAACACATACTTATGGGTCAGTTTTTCCTAGAGAAATCCACGGTTGAGTGTCGGTTGGCCATGTAATTCCTGTGTATTTTTTTGCGTAGAAATCAAATCTGTGGTCGATTGGCTCAAAAATGCTGACTTTGAGCATGGAAACCGTAGAGAATTGGTAAAAAACGCAGAAAAACGCGTAAAACCCCCCTCAATTTTGCCCAAATGCCAATTTTGACGGCGGAAATGGAAGGAGCGCAAAATGTTACCCCCGGAACCCGATTTTCATCTTTATACGAGCAAGATTGACGGCGCTACAAAATTAAAACCGATTTTGCGCTTAAAAATTTGGGGGGCCCCCGCCCCCCTAATATGGCCTGAAACTTGGCATGCTTTCTCTTGACACTCATACGTAACGAATTACAGCAAAAAAAATCCCGGATTAAAAATCCACCGGAAAACCCGGAACTCGCCACCCCTCCTTTCACATGAATTTTCATTTTGCTGGTAAGTGAAATTTCATTTTCCATGTTTCCATAATATTTTACGGGCTGTGAATGTAACTTGCAATAATTACTCGATAGTTCACAAGGAAAAATTTGGACTTGACTCACTATATCTTTTTATTTAAAAATTGATATTTGACGATTTCTGTGCGTTTCATGGCATACAGAGTCCATTGCAGAGGTTTTAAAGAAATTAAAAAACTTGTATGCAAATTCCTGAAGTTTCAACGTGAAATTGACAGTTGAAAACGAGTTTTGTGACATATTGCATCCCTACGCTGGTTGCATAAATTGATCTTAGTATTGAAATTTTGTAAAATAGTGGACATGTACAGGAACAGCTAGAGCTCCAGTTCAGAAAGAGCTACTGATGACTCTGGATTTGTTTTGCAGAGATCAGAATAATGTCCTCTACGACTTGTCAAAAACGATTTGCAAATTTTTGACAAAAAATAAATTCTTTCTTTTTTCCTTGAAATCTGACCTCTATTGTATGAAAACCCTCAATATGAAGGTATGTTTTAGGGGAATGAGGGGAGGGGGGATTAAAGAAAAGCAGAACTTCAAATCCACCAATCTTGTAAGAAAGATGGCTGCGGTTGATTACTTTTGACGAGGATCATCTTATACCAGTTCATGAAAAATAGGAGAAAAAAGGACAAATTGTTAGATAGAATAGAAAGTCTGTGTTTTAGAAATAAATGTGTTGCTATTTCAAAGTTAAAAAAACATTTTCTGTTGTTAAAAAAACTAAAGCAGGTAATTTAACAAACCAGGCAAGGAATACAAGATTTAGGAGCAAATTCAGGTAAAAACATCACACCTATTTATATATTTATATTCATTTCTTTGACTTATGCATGGCAGTCGGTGACCTGTGCGCACCATGATTGAAGCACTTAGCTACTACAAAACTGAGGTAACAGGGCCTCTTCTCCTTGAAAAAACATATAAAAGTCTTTAAATATTATGAATTTGATGCATTCAAATAAAAATTGAGTCCATGAGATAGAAGAATGCTCTCTTCTTTATGATGTTTAATTGAAAACGCATTTTTTTGTGTTTCCAGCAGGGAAATAAAAGAACCATAAATTTCACAGTATGATAAAAAATCTAGGACTCTATAGATATTTCTAAAAAACATTCATTCACTCTCTTAGAGAGACTTTCTAAAAGATCAATACAATTAAATGCAGAAGTGACAATACCTATCTGTTCTTCTTTAGGCATATCTGGTAATCTTTGCCCACCAACAGTCATCGACACTTTGTTGCCTTCTAAAATACCTTCATCAATTTCTTTCAATTTTAATTGCCAGTTAACCCGAGAAGTTTTCAAAGCTTCAGCTAAAGGGTCCAGCAGTATTTCATGTATTTTTCTAAGGTACTTGTGACTACCAAGCTTATTATTCCTATCTCGAATGATCAAAAAACGAATGAAATTGAGTGAAGCAATAGTTTCATTAGCGAACTCCATTAAATCAGTTCTTGACCCTGCAGGTAGCTTACAATAGAGATCGACTAAATCAAATAGGCACTTGCCTCTAAATAATGGGTGCTGATAATACTGAATCACTGAATCTTTGATGCAAGTTATGACATAAGCTTTTATGCTCGAATTAGTGAGGATTGTATGGAGATTTAGAAATACAAGATATTTTTCTTTAGGACGTAGTTGACAAAGGTAATTCTTGAAAACTGTAAAACTTAGTTTCCTATTATCCTCTGTTTTTTCATAAGTTATGCAAGTCGTTAAGCCTCGCATGAAGTGCTCTAATACAACACTCTCAGTGAAAAAACAACTATCGAGCTCTTCAAGCATGAAATTGCTTAAAAGTAAGCCTTTCCTCCTGATCAGGGAGTCTTCACACAAAATTAAAGCAGACGCAAGAGGAAAAATATTAGATCTTAGATAACTGGTACTGTAAACTTTGGGAATTTTTTCAATAGGACCTAGCCTTTCGCAAAAAATTAGATAGTAGAAATTGGCAGATGCTAAAAGAGGGATACAATCAGAATTTTCCGAATTAAATTTGTGACTGGTCAGAGGTTCAGTTTTCTTTACAAAGGATATAACATCAACAGACATGGAAAAGATTAAATTCAGCAAATTTTCTACTGACTTCTTAAGGCTGCTTGATGATGATTCGCCCTCAAAATTTAGCTGAACTAATGGCCTTCCAAGAATTTTAACTAGATGACTTACAAAAATTTGTTCAAATTTCTTAGATTTTGGGACATCCACAATTTTCAAGATTTCATATTGAATTGTCTGGTAAAAGAAAATTAACTCTTCATAGACTTTACAAATTATCATTTGATATTCATCACTTTCTGGGTGTACTTTTTCTCTATCTTCAAAATTAAAGTCACCTGGCAAACATAAATGCTTTGTTAAGCAATCATGAATAGACGTAAGACACCAGTGAAATGATTTCCCATTTTCATCTGGCAAACGGAAGAGAACACTCTGTAAAGGTCTCAGTAAGGTACAAAATCTGGCATCATCAAAATCTTCTTCTAGTTGGGAGAGGAGAATAAGAATGAATTCTTTAGGGTTGGCGGCTGAAGCTATTTTGATTAATGCGCTTGCACTTAGAAGGTGTAAATGTTCATCTTTTTGGGCATGACTTTTTGACAGGTACCGAAAGACCCTGGGGATAACTTCCCACAGATCCCAAGTTGCTAGGTCAACTTCATTACCATCTTCAAGGATAGCTTGGAGAAGTTCTTCATCTTCTTTCTTCTCGGTTTTTTGCTTAACAGGTACATTCATGTCTTGCTCTTCTTCAATCTCCATCAAAAATATCTATCTTAATTTCAATTTTGAATCCTATTTTAAGTAATTATTAATTTTACCAAATACAAAGAATTCTAATATCCAAATTCACGAGAGAGCAGCTGCTTAGGAATGTTCACTGACTTTGATGATGGAGGAATTCAAATTGATCCATGGGGGGGGATAAAAATCTTCAAAAGTTTTATCACTGTCCTGTAACAAATATACAGGGCCATCCTAAATCACTTGGGAAAAAAATTACAGAGTGACTGACATGCGTGGATTTCACGTCACGTTAGTCCCTCTAATTATTTAATGTAACATTACAGACGAATCACATACTCAACTGTCTCTTAGGAACCCTTGCCGGCTAATTGAAAGGAATACAGCAAGATTTGATTGGAAATTGTGATTTTTTTCACTCCGTTTACACTGAGGAGGGTGATTACTCGTACATTTAATATATCCTCAATAATTAAGACTTCTTTTTCTTTAATACTAGCAAAAAATCCGTTCATTTAAATATTATGAGCCCCAGTAGAACCTTCCCAAAAAATATATTGGGCAACTTTTTTGAAAACAAGTTGGAAATGGGAGGAGAAAGTTGTTCCTTCCCAACGTTACACAATTCATATGGAGGGATCCGAGTTTGCAGTAAGTAGGTACACAGCAAAAAGGAATGAGAAAGTGTTGACACTCCTTCCTTGCATTTTAAGTGTCAAGTGCATAAATATGGCATAAAAATTTGATGTGTGCCATACATAACTAATGAAGTAAATCTACGGAATGTGCGGACAAGAACCATAGATACCTACGTAGCATTGCTGTATAGCTGATAAAACTATAAAAGCAGTATCTCTGACCGAAATGTTTCAAAATTTAGAGCCGATTCTACTTTCAAGAGGTGGTAAGTACATACTTAGATAAAATCAGACATTTCTCTGAGGATTTTTCGAAGAATATTTGTGGAAGGCAAAGAAAAATCATACAAAATTTTATCCAAAAAAAGAATAAAGACCAAAAAATTCAAATAGAGCAGGAAATTCGCAATCATGTAAAGTAAAGTACAAAATTCTGTATTTCCTTGATTGATAAGGTCACCGTTCATGTGAGAGATGATCAATGTAAATCCGAGATCCTTGGAAAAAATCATTAGCTTTCCTTAATTGATCAAACCACGCCCCATTACAGGAACCATAAAGCTATTTAAACTCCACATCTGGATTCATACAAACACAGCCATTAGGCTAGACGTACAACAGTCAGTGGTGAGGATTTGGCTAGATGAACGTAAATGTTATTTCAGGTTACAGGTGCTACCTGCAGCAGTTACAGGATTTCCGGTACTCTGTCTTAGTCACATATAATAGAAATACCTGCAAGTGATACTGATTATCCTACATCAGTGGCAAGATTGCTGTTTAAAAAATAGGAAAGAATTGTGAATATTCCTGATGAGAATAACGTTAAGGTTGTACAATGGATTCACGGTAAAATAACTTCAGTTGCCAGCTTAGAACTTAGAACAATTACGAAAACTTTTTTGGCAGTTCCCCAATATTGTAGCACGGATTCATAGAAAAAAAAGGGGAAGTGATTGCATTTCGGGCATCTTAGAATTTTTTTTATGACGTAAATTAGTACGGATGATTTTTATCCTCGATTCTCTTGGAAATGGTGTAGGTAGTTTTAGAAAGTCATATAAAGTGCTAAAAATTATATCATGAGTTGATTAAAGCAAAAAAATACCTATCGGACATTATGGTCCATAGTTCATGCTTCAAATTTCGAATTTTGCTGGAATATCAACGCCATGTTGTACCGACCTACGTCATGAGGTAAACAATCCTGAAGATGCAAACACCTCCTTCTTCTCTATGGTCCTTTTTTTTGGTCTCTGCTACACAATGGGAACTTTGGGATTGGCTTCCATGGTTTGGTGCTTTCCATCTTTCCTCCAATTGTCAGGTGCTCATAATTTCAGGAAAAGTAAAAAAACTTGTTGCCAGATGTTATGTTAGTGCGGCACTTTATTGGGACATAACTGATAAGATTATGTGCAGCTTGTTCTTCAAGTCTCACGACGAGTTTTAAGCATTTCCTCTGATAAATAAGTAGTAAGCATGAAATGATGGGAGCTAATCCCAAAAGGTACATCGTATAACGTGTAGCAAGTTTTCCGACTGCAATACGCGCGAGTCCAAAAGAACCCTGCACCATCCTTGTGGGAAATCCCCCCAATCAAATCTGATGAAACTTGGATATGTTGCTCAGCTCATCACTCTGATCAAAGGCTCTCACGGGCCAAAAGAGATCCCATGTGCAGTTTTTGAGATATTCGCCTCTTAATGTGTATAAATTGAGGTTTCGCTGGCCGGACCATTGTGCGGCTCCGCTCATGCCTTTCCCTTCCGGTCCACTCTGACCGCTCTCCGCTTCCCCACCACCTGTACCCGAGGCTTTGCTCATCACCAGCCTGAGTGGTCTTATCACCTTTGATCTCTTTGGGCTCATGAGAGCTTTTGATCAGAATGACTAGCTGAGCGAAATATTCAAGTTTCATCAAATTTGGCTGGGGAGGACTTCTCATGAGGAAGGTGCGGGACTCTTTGAAGTTAAAAACATTCTCATTCAAAATGAATGGATCTCGAGCTTCAAAAAATGACGAGAGGCAAAATGATATGACTTGAATCACCTGAGATATTGCTTGGCATACAGCTCTCATTGACATTTGAAACGGACAAGACAGTTGGGTTCATAGTAACAGATTTGAAGTTGAGGGTGCACACTTAACCTTTACTCAATCCAACTGATAACTATTGAACAAGAAGTTCGTGTAAACCAGAGACAAGTGTAAACTAGATAGGTTGACGAAATTTGCTTATTCGTACACATAATAAAGTGCTGAAGTCAAAATAGCTAATCACGTAGGTAATAAGAGGAGAAATTTGAACTAACCTCTACAAAAGTTGACATTATGTGGATTCTTCGAAAATGACAGTACACCTAGGCAAATGCGCGATGCCATTCTCGGAACTTCAACAGCAATTTGAAAATAAAAAGTTACATAATAGGACACCTTAGAAATAAGTACTAGTGAATCAATTACAGTACAATTCAAATTGAAGAAGAGAGCACGAATAGTACACGCTACACGTATTACGCTGTTTACAATCAACTCATCAAGGCCAAGCAAGGCGGATAAAGAATGGTGGTCGCATTTCGTACCCTCTGGACGTCACACGGTATCGGGTACATCGGGTACATGGGCTGGCCGAGGCCGGGGGGGCCGACTCAACCTCGGATTGCACGGCATAACCCGTACCCTCCTGACGTCACAACGCTTCAAGATGGCAGCCAAAATCGAAATGCAACCACCATTCTTTATCCGCCTTGAGGCCAAGGACCAGTTCTGTAGGACCCTGGACTCCCGTCAGAGCCAATGTAAAAATTCGTGAGCAGACACTAGTGCTGCTGTCTCGCGTAGGACCCTCGCAACTCACTGCTATTATCAGTTTTCAGTTTTGGACTTCACTTACATCCGTAGAATCACGTATATCTGCCAAAAATCGAAGTTTTCATCCCATCGCAGTAGGCGGCAGGCCGTGTAGGGATGGCAAGGATCGGAAAACGCCAAAAATATACTTATTTTTCAAGAATTCAGCCGCCTTATGTGTTATTTTTCAATCATCGGCTTAACCTCACTTTTGGAGCGAGTACCTCTGTCAAAAACATAAAGCCAGAGCGCTAAAAAAGCAAAAAATGAAGCTCTACTATTGGCTAGAGGATTGGCGGCGAAATCGGGACAAGTTTGAAATTCAAATGTAGGGCGGGAACTAAATAAAATTGCGAGAACAAAGTATTTTAGGTTGATTTTTGCCGAAATTCACTTACACACTCATATTTTTATAACTTTAGGTTAGTTTTGGTCCGTCGTCGAGCGATTAATTTCATTTTGGAGTAACGGTCATCTACGACTGTAACGGCCTGTTTGAACCGGCAGAACCACCATGAGCAGAAGAAAAACTAACTTTATCTGAGATTACTGCCTGTACCGAGCAAAAGTAGGTGTATTATAGTAGGACGCAGTCCCAACTTTCTTAATATATTCGTTTTAGGCATTTAAAATACGTTTCGAAGGAGAAATGTGCAAAAATCAAGAGGACAAGTTCAAATCAAATTCCGTTTGCCGCCATGGATTCCCGCGCTCATTTACACACTCACACAAGCACCCAGCGCCAAACCAGGCTTCACTTTTTCCCCGTGCTTTTAGATACGAGCACTCCGTCTCCATGTCTTTGGTCCATACTCTCGCTATACAGGTACCAAAGACATAAAGACGGAGTGCTCGTACCTAAAAGCACGGGGAAAAAGTGAAGCCTGGTTTGGCGCTGGGTGCTTGTGTGATGAGTGTGTAAATGAGCGCGGGAATCCATGGCGGCAAACGGAAATTTGATTTGAACTTGTCCTCTTGATTTTTGCACATTTCTCCTTCGAAACGTATTTTAAATGCCTAAAACGAATATATTAAGAAAGTTGGGACTGCGTCCTACTGTGATACATTTACTTTTGCTCGGTAACAGGCAGTAATCTCAGATAAAGTTATAGTTTTTCTTCTGCTCATGGTGGTTCTGCCGGTTCTAACAGGCCGTTCAGTCGTAGATGACAGTTACTCCCAAATGAAATTAATCGGTCGACGACGGACCAAAACTAACCCAAAGTTATACAAATATGAGTGTGTAAGTGAATTTGGGCAAAAATCAACCTAAAATACTTTGTTTTCGCAATTTTATTTAGTTCCCGCCCTACATTTGAATTTCAAACTTGTCCCGATTTCGCCGCTAATCCTCTAGCCAATAGTAGAGGTGATTGAAAAGAAGCTTCATTTTTTGCTTTTAGCGCTCCGAGAGCACGTATTTGACTCAGTTTTTGTATAAATTTACTCATTTTCGCGGAAGAACGCTCATTTTTGTACATTCTTGGCCATCTTGGTTAAAATTGGAATTTGCAAACTCTGTAGACTGGCAGTGAAATTTAGTGTGTTAGAAGTTGTTTAGAAGGATGGCTGCACTTCTGGGCCCTAAGACCTCCATGAAGCGATCTGTCCATACTCTCGCTATACAGGTACTCTAGGAGCGGGTGATGGATGAGTCGAGGTTCGGGGGGAAGGATCCTCTGAGTTTACTAGGGTCCTACGCAGAATTGCTGAAAGAGTTAATCGAATGAAACATGAAATTTCACAAGAAAGGAGGGGTATATTCTGTTACTTTAAAACTACCAAAACTGCAAAATAGCTTTTTCCTGGATAATAATGGAGTGAAAATGATGTTACGCCGATATCTCATTGGGGTGGGGGGACTGGGGAGGGGTGGGCGTTGGGGGGAAGGATGTCAAAAAGGGTGAAATCTTTAATTGTATTATTTGTAAACTAGATTCAATGTCTTTAAGCAAAATTAAGCGTTACAGAAACCATATAACGGCCCTCATACGGTAGAACTGCGATGCAGCGTTGCAGCCGATGTCGGCCGTGTGAGTCTCCGACTTCAAGCGCTCCTAATACCCTAGTTAAAAAAATAAGAGTGATTCTAGTTGCATTTTTGGCTACATACTTTAATACCTGTGGTAACCATTTTTGCCGAAAAACTGCTAAGAAAAAAGATATGTGAGAAAACCGCAAAAAATTGCGGTTTTTTTCAAATTTCCCGCCATTTTCAGCGCGCTCTGGCGGATGGTATGTGCATATAATCAAAACTTTGGTACATGTTTCTATACCAAAATTTTACTTACTCTCATTTTGGAAATAACTCATTTTGCCGTCTGACGCACAGGGAACGAGTTATTAACGGTTTTTGGACGAAAAATGAGATTTGGCAACGTTTTTTCAAGATGGCGGCTTTAGCGGCAAAAATCGAAGGTAGCAAAGTTCAGATTCGGATTCAGCGCTAAAAAAACACACAGTAAACATATGCCAGAAAGTTTTTCGCAAAATTTGCAAGGTAGGGCCCTTTTTCGGTCTAGATTGACTGGACTAATATGAATTTAAAGTAAAAAAGATCTCAAATATTTTCAAAGAATTCATAAATGTATTTCATTTGTTTTTCACCGATCCTTATGCATAAGAATGATATCACCCGACAAAGTTTCGAAATTAACTTTGCTATGAAGGGAATGATATGTCTGACGTAGCAACTCATATCTGGGTAGGTATTTTTGTGTATTTGTGACACTTATTTGTAACTTTTCATAATTTTATTCATAATTTATCCTCTTCCCTCATGAAAAATTAAGCACTTCGTCCTCCGAAGTAAAATTCAGGCGCCTGAACTTTGCACCTGTATAGTTTTTTCGACAAAATGCACAAGAACGGGTCTTCGAGTATGTTGTTCACCAAAAAACATCAATAATGAATTCTACGCGAAAAATTACGAGAGAAAATGGTATATAATCGATCAAATGACCAGGAATATTCGTTATCCTGGTAAAATTAGAGGCGCAACGCTCCATGACCGACCTCTCCCATTGACTCGATCCACCGTGCGGCGGAGGACGGGCGTCGCACTATGGTCCGAATAGCCGGTTTAAGCGGCAATAAATCGAAAAAGTGAAGTTTGGAAAAAGTTAGATTTTAAGCGGTAGATCGATAGTACATACTGTAGAGAAGACTCCTGTAAAATTTCACTTCGATTAAAGCACTAATAAAGATGTGACAAGCCTGGGAAGTGCGGCGCGCGGAGCACTTTACGAGTGCGATTCCAGTTACCGAGCGGCAGTGCTGTGTTTAAGGGCTTGTTTTCGTCGTCTCACCGTACCTGAAAGTGTTCGGGCACTTGATTCACAAAATATAAGATAAGTTTAAGATGTTTCATGCTGAAACTGTTCTTTTTCATCATATCTAATGTTCTAGATTAACCCTTATATAGACATAGTCACTTTTTTCAATAAATTCGCAAAAGTAGGACCCAAAAAATATCCTTTGCACCTCTGAGCACCTCGTAATTTTACTCGGAAGTTATTGTCATGACTCTATACTACCTTTTAGTCTGAGTGGCAGATCAATCACACACAATCGCCTCAAGTTATTTCTCATGAAAAAGACGTTTTCGCGTTTCTTATCACTAACAACAATTAGCTATCATATGCCATTGACGATGACTTTTATCATGTTCCATTGTCATATTCTAGCAAATCGAATGCGCATTAGAACCTAAATCTGCCCAGGCAGAATAATACGAGTTGATGGGGTTGATCGGGACCAATTGAAACTTGTGCTCAAGAACAGCAAAGAATCGCCTCGGGAGGCTACTTTGAGGCCCTGTAAAAGTTTTTTTTTTTTGACGTTTTTGTGTTTCAAACATATAATCTATCAGTGTAGATATATGTTAGCAAAGTTTAGCTTGGCAGACGAAAACAAGTCTAAACGGTTGATCGGTGGGACTTGAAAGTAAGGCTCCCGAGCAATGAAATTGTCTTAGGAAGCCACTTTGAGGTCCCGTAAACTTTTTTTTTACGTTTACCCATGTTTCAAACAAATAATCTATCAAAATGGATATATTTAAGCTTAAGTTTAGCTTGGCAGACGAAAACAAGTTCAAACGGCTGATCGGTAGGACTTGAAAGTAGGCCTCTGGAGCCATGAAACGTAGAAGTATTATCCTGAGCTGTCTTTTTCAACTTCCCTTGATAGTAGTGTTTGACGAGGCTCTACTTTTAGCTTCTTATAGTCCAT